AAATCTTGTATTTTCATCAAAGATGACAAAAAATTATGCGAATATTTCACCGTTGCAGATTCAGATCTTTGGCAAAGAACATCAAACAATGTGTACCAAGTGGATCGAAAGAAGTACCCGCATCCTTTGACTGGAGAAAGAGTGGTGCTGTAACAGAAGTGGGAACCCAAGGGAACTGTACATCATGCTGGGCATTCACTGTCACGGGGGCATTGGAAGGTTTTTATAAAATTAAAACTGGAAAATTGGTACGACTATCGCAACAATTCCTAGTCGATTGTTCCGACTATACCCAAAACGCAAAAAAAGTAGAAGACAAATGTAAAATAGGCAATCATCCACCATTGGGATTGGAGTTTGTACAAAAAAACGGCATATGTCTAGCGGATAGTTATCCATACACTGCCAAGAGCGGTAAATGCGACAAAAGCATAAAACTCACCAAATTTTATGCAATTAGAGATATTAGGCAGGTTAAGATTCTTGATGAAGAAGCAATGAAAGAAGCACTATATTCGAATGGACCATTGGTTGCTGGCATGTATGTTCTGGACGGATCGACCGATTTGTACGCAGGAGGCGTATATTATGAAGAAAATTGCTTGAAAGGGGATTATCATGCAGTACTCATCGTTGGATATGGCCATGATGAAAAGTACGGAGATTATTGGATAATAAAAAACAGTTGGGGCACAGGTTGGGGCGAAGATGGGTATATGAGATTAGCTCGAAATAGAAACGGCCATTGTGGTATTTCATATACAGTTTACTTGGTTAAATGAATGTCCGATTCGATGGTTTTTTTCCAGAGGTTTTTCACCTCTGTACATGAAACCCAATTTAGGATAATTCTCACTTGTAAATTTACTCTTACGACAATGTAAAATTAACAAAAACTTTCAAATGAAACTCGAGTTTAAATTCGTACTGGTTTTTTCTTTATAGTTTTGTGTTCAACCGCCACATCTATTTGTTGCTTTGTTCTGAAATTCGTTGAATATGAGATTACTGGATTCAGTCGACGACGAAAGGACTATTCATTCCTTCCATATGTATTGAAATGATGATACCTTTCTGTGATGTTTACACTTATTTATTGTAAATTCATTTTGTTCTTTGTTAAAGCCATCCACGAGTTGGCGACTTAATATTCTTATCATTGAAATCAAATTTGAATTATTTATCAAATAGCATCAATTGCTCTAGTTACGTTTCAAATCATAGTCCATGTCAACTCAGTGCACTCTGCAATCAACATGGATCTGCCTTTACAGACGTAAAAATTCTCGTCAATTTATCTACCGGTATAAATTGAGCGACGACTTTTGCTGTCCTAGAGTCTCAAATTAACGCGTAATTAAACGCTTCACATAGCCTTTGTCCCTTGGAAACGTTTACCAAAGGTTATCTTGGACCGTTTGCCATAGACTAATATCAGGCATTTCCATCTTGGTTGCATGACTGTTTTCGTTTTCATGTTCCTACTATTGTGATAACTAAGGTGAACTATACTACTATTGTAACTCTGTTTCAGTAAAAATCCGTACAAATGAGTGAAATTTACTTGAAAAATCCGTACAAATCCGTACACTGAAAAAAAATTCCGTACAAAAATGCGGTACATGTAAAAAGACTGAAAATAAGTGATATTTTTATTTCTTGATAGTATGAAACACATTTAAATATTTCTCTTCTGAGATATCAATGAAAATAAATCAGAAACTCTCATCGATTGACATATTTAAATCTACAGTTTGATCTTGTTCCTCATTCTTGAAAGCATATTTGTCTTGAGCGAATTTTTTCTTATCAAATCTTGATTGCCTTTTAACATGTTGTAGAACTCAATGTACGAATAATCTAAGTTTGATTTCCATGCGAAGAAATATTTATTTTGGATTTACAAATCGTACAGTGAACCTAAATGTCATTAGTTTCACTTTTTCTCAAAAAATCATACTTCTTTTGAAGGTCTTGGTTGAACACACATTTTCCGCGCGACATTTCGTATTAAAAGACACACGAGAAAACAAGCAATTGTCTTTCAATCAATATGATCGATTTAGCTTCAGAGAGTGAACTCATTGCATCTTTCTTAACTACTCATAAGTACGAATAAATGGTTACGATTGACTTTCTGAATTATGATCGAAAAATCCAGAAACAAAATTATGATGACGAAAATATTTATATTAGGAGAAGTTGCCATGATTCGTTGACATGTTTGTTGACAACTCATGTTGCTTACATCATTGGTTTTCTGAAAATCGATTTCAGTTGCTCACACTATTAGATTTGAGTTGATGCAAACTTGTTTCATCGACGGAACGATTAAAAGAAGTTAAAAATTGAAAAACAACAGTAAAAACAATGATATATCAATGACTGGAATTGTTTGCATAAGTTCTGTATACATTTTTGATGTGTATATCACGAATTTAGAGATTTGGTTAAAGATTTTTTTTTTCATTTTGTTTAAATTCCGAAAATCCGTACAAATCCGTACAAAATCGGCAAAAATCCGTACCGGACGGGACATGAGAAAAAATCCGCGGAAAGACTGAAAAATCCGTACTGTCCCGCAAAAATCCGTACGGTTGGTCACCTTAGTGATAACCGCATAATTTACGAAAAGAGCCAGGTTTTTAACGAGGCGAGAACTGATAGTTATCGAAACCTATTGCTACTAATTGTTTATTATTTTAAATATGTAACAGTCTTGCACTCTTTTCCTGCCATACCTCAATCAAAACCCACATTATATTCAGCCAGAGATTGGCGGTGTTTAATTAAATAAAATAAAATAAAAATAAAATAAAATCCATGATTTTTGAATTTAAATGGAAAACGTTTGTTTCGATGAATTATTGAGGCTTCTTGTTCAGCACATTACTTGATCCATTTGGCAATGGGAAAGGTTAGTATAATTCATGACTTTATTTCGATACGCTTCGCTAACGTTTCTCATCCTTATTTCAAAGCCTGGAAATTTTGAATTAGTTGAAATTATCAGAGATAACACGAATTTACTATTATTCAAAGAAATTAAACTAAATATATGTGAAAAAAACAATTTACATGGGAAAAATGAATTTAAATTCTCAAATAGCATCAATGATGAGACCTTTGCCGAGTATCAGAACGAGAACCAGGACAAAACCGGAAATACTAAGTAATGTCCAAACAAAATTGAAAGTCAACCAAAATCGAAAAAAAGAAAATACAAAAAACACGAAATATGTAAACACCGTTACCGAATGTCAGATGAGAACATTTCAAGAATAGTTCTATCTATTCGTCACTCGATGTCGAAATGCGTTTGGACACGACTTTTTTTTTCTAGTCATTTAAGTATTTATAACCAAGACAAAAACAGACAAAAGTTTGACTGTAAGTCTCCAATAAATTTCATACAAACTGATTTTTCCAGTGACAGTCATGTTTCATGTAAGTTGTTCATACAAAAAAGACTTTGTACGCGTTCCATTTAAATACTTTTATTTTATTAAAAGAATTTGGAAAGAAATGAACAAACATATAAACGTTTCTTTCACTTTAATTTTTTTTCTCTGATGGATATTTGAATTGTTTACAATGTTTCGTGACATACAATGCCCGGGTAGTTGGTTTTCTTGTTATATTTCAATATTAGTTTCTTATTCGCAATTCAGATTAACACTCAATTTGTTCGCAACACGGATGTCGATTTAATTGTTTTGTGGTTGAGTTTTGGCGTTTTGCAGAGATTGCGTCATGTACAATTTGGCCAATGATTGTGAACAGAATTGTGAAATGTGTTGTGCATAGGTATTGACTTGTCCGGAAACGATCATCGAGTTCAATCTGGATGGTACTGGCAATGGGCGGAATGCCTTCAAAACTTCTTCATCTGGAACTACTGCTTCACCCTTATTAATACGCATATTATTTTCTTGTTGATTCTTAGCCAAAACACGGGTTTTGTCCTGTTGAAAATAAAGCCAATGATTAGTCAACGTATTCACCATGAGTAGGAGTTTGATTCGAAACAAAAGTTCCAATTGCGATTAAATCAAAATCAAACATTGATTGCTCACCATATCTTGACGAATGACAGCTTGTTGGTATTTGTTGAACTTGGTTGCTTCCTGATTGAGTTCGTCAACACGTTCCATCAACGACCGCAAATGATTTTCCAGCACCGATGCAGTGCCCAAGTCCAAGAAATGTGTACCAGATTCTTCTGGGATCAATTCACCGAGCTCGGACATCATGATGTTGGTCAACGGTGAGTTCTTGATGTGAATCGGCACTTCAACGAACAATTTTTCGTAGCTGATTTTCAAGTTTTTGAGTGCTTCAGCCGTGAAATCACCATCTTTGTACATGGCAATGGCTTGTGGTGTCAAACGGTATGCCTTCAAAGTGAGAAAACCGCGAGCCGATTTTTGTGTGTCATAGATGACAACGACCGATTCTTCGATGCTTGTCTGGTAGTGGTACTGCGATTCAAGCAATGGCAATGACAAGAAGTTACCAACATCGGCACTCTGGTACCATCCAACATGGAAATGGTCAACGTTAACACGACGCAAACGACGCATCATTGCCAATTGATATTCTTCTTCGTCCATTGTTTCGTCGCTGGTTTTTGGGAATGGGAAGCAGTTTGTGATTTCCAACTTATTGCCGAATGCCAAACCGAGCAAGGCCCCTTGTGCCAAATCCATATTGCTTTGCGACTCTTCGTGGCAATGCTTGACCATTTTCATAACAGCCTAGAAATTTGCAAAAATAAACATAAATAAAAATCATTTCCGCATCAAAACACATTGAACGCAATGGAAAGGTGAAGAAAAGTTGCATTTGGGCCGGAATTTTGGAATTTCCTAACCTATTTCAGGGAAGCCATTAGTTTGACACTCTTTCTATGTATGTGTAATGGTGACGAGTAAGCAGCGTGCAGCGTGTTCGTCATACAGCCGACACATAAAATTTTCAATGGCACGAATTTCGCAAAATTTTCACATTTCCACGCCAAACTTCAATTGATTTCTACTCACCAGGCCATCGCATTGCACCGAAGCGATGGTATTATCCGACTCCGGTTGGCGTTGATTTTGATTTCGGCGATTTTTTCCGGACATTGTTTCACGACTTTATCGCACTTGACAAGTAAAATGAAAAGACAGATCGACACTGTTGTGTGGGGATGGTTGACGTGAAGTTGTCCGCACAACAAACGCACGAAATGACGTACTAGATTTCGAAATCATTTTCGAAATTCAATTGACACATTGTACGATGTCATCTGCAATTGACTGTAAATAAATGAAACGAAGACATTCTTTGTGATATATCATAGGAATATAAACATAGAAAATTAAAATATTTTTCGATTTTTATCTCATTTCAAAGACGATTTGGTCGATTTTCCCGTGAATGCACGATGAGTTGAATTGCTTGGGATTTTTTTGCGCTGTGCAAATATCCCGCGATCCAAGTAAATATCATATTGAATTTTTTCTGAAAACAACATCACAACTATGAATAGCATTGGAGAGATTCTGTGCAAATATGTTGGATACAATGACCTCGAAAATGTGCAAAAGCTCTTAGATCAAGGTTAGTTGTGTGTTTATTTTTTCGGTTTCATTTGATTTTGAACTCGAATATTAAGTTCAATGATTTTGTTTAGGTGCAAATCCAACACAAACCGCACTTTGTGGACGTACGGCGATTGGAATCGCTTGTTTGAATAAACATGCTGAGGTGTTGAAGCTTCTCTTGAATGCATGTGCGAACTATGAACCATCACATTATGACTATGACACTGGGGAAAGTGAAGCGAAAAAATGGAAGCGACAAGAAAGAGATGGTGAACACACACCGGAAGGTATGGACGATTTGCAATGGGAAGATGAGATCGAACAACCACTACCTGAACCAGTCAAAGAGGACACGGTTGACGATGAATGGTCGGTGTTGTATCGGTATTATGCACGCATAATTGAGACGACCGGAGATTTACTGGCCAATGCAATCAGCATGCGAGATCCACATTGTTTAGATGCCTACCAAGAGGCACCACTTCATTATGCAGCATCCGTGGGTAGCTATGAGTGTTTGGAATTGTTGCTCAAACATAAAGCACCGATAAATGTCACCACCAGCACGGGATACACGGCACTTCATTTAGCCGTTGAGCAAACACGAATTGTCGATTTGTTGTTGAAATACAAAGCCAATCCGAACAAATTGACATATCTGGATCAGATGGCACCCATTCACCTGGCCACCAAATTCGATGCGGTTGAAACGGTATGAAATTTATTCCGAATGAAAAATGTTGAAATTTGCGTCTTAAATAAAAATTCAAATCAACACTCCACAGATTCAGCTCTTGAAAGCAGCCGGTGCTCAGGTGAACATAGCGACGGCTTGCGGTCAAACCGCTCTCCATTTGGCATCGGTGTACGAGAAATATGAAGCGGCTATGACGTTAATTCAGTGCGGGGCAAAGGTCAATGTGCAAGACGAAGAAGGAGTGACACCTTTGTTCACGGCGATCGTTGTGAATGACTGTCGAATGGCCTCGATGCTATTAAAAAATGGAGCAAGACTACTTCCAAGCCAGCACTTACTTAGTTTTACGATACGGAATCAGATGCGAGAAATGACACATTTACTGGTTGAAGCGGGTGAAAATGTAAATGGTCGTGATCCGATTGGTTGGACTCCATTATTACTTGCAATCCACAAACGTGATATTGCCACATTGGAATACTTGATTGATCATGGGGCAAAAATCAATGAGAATGCTTACGTGCTCAAGGAATTGCACGTGGCTGTGCAACAATCTGACTCAACCGAGGCGTTCAAGAGAATATTCCGGATTTTGATGAGACATGGCGTCGAAATTGATAGCCTAAATAAATGGGGCGAGACCCCTTTAATTTTGGCAATGCTCATGGAAAAATATCAAATTGCCGAATATTTGATCCACGAGGGGGCTAATGTTAACGCCGGTAGTTTCATCAAAGCCAGAGATTGTATGCTGTTAGTGCGAGAGTGCAATAACATAAATCTAATTAAACTTTTTGGTAAGATGGTCTATGCATTTTTCATTTCTCCGAGAGAAATCCGAAGGAATTTTTGGAATGACCCTAACAATTGTTCTCTTTTGCAGTAAATTCCGGACTGAAACTGATATGGTCAGAGCTGTTAAGCATTGTTAATAATCCAAATTCACACACAAATGAAATCCACAATGATAATCATCGTCAACGAAGGGACAACGCCGAACTGGAACACTCATCATCAGAAAACTGTGAAACGTATCTTATGCGAGTTTTAACCAATCCATTATCATTGAATCAGCATGCTCGAATCGTGATACGGAATCGTCTCATTGAAAATATGAAGCATCAACAGTTTGTTCGAGACTTTGTTCTATCAGATCCAAAATATCAATTAAATAGTACACTTGAATACAATAGTCCAAAATTATCAGCAAACACAAATACAATGGTCGCATCAGTACAGCATCGACGTCGAATGCAACAGCAGACCAGTTCAATTTTAGAATGCCTTATTTGGCAATTGGATGTACCGAGAATTTTACACTTTTATTTGTATGCATTTCCAGATGTGCCGCCCATGCCTGAAGACATTACGGTCTTTGTGAATGATTGAAACATATTCCATTTTTATGCATTTTTAGAGACGTGATGACGGGCCGAACCTTTTGTGCACGACCAATCATTTTTGGTCGCATTTTTAAATGGTCTAACTTTTAAGTGTGAACCATGTATAATGGAAACAGAAATCAATAGCAAACCGAAAAATGAAATACATCATAAACAGATCTATGAACAACTAAAATTCGTTTTTATTATTATTGGCATTTTTCTTTTTCATTGCGGCTGATTGCAATTTTCAGAAGAAACGTTTTATGGGAATGAAAAAGACCCTGGGAAAGATAATTGCATACGAAGTGATGCGTAAAAATATGGTAGGTAACAGAAATACGAATGGAACAGAATACCAATGTCAGATTGTCAGACAATTGAAAATCAGTAATTCAATGTCTCTGCCAAATCACTTGCGTATCATAAAATTTGATGATCATATCTGCATGATGGGCATGAAGTAATCGTAAAAATGTGTTTGCTAAGTAGCACTTGCGCAAATTCGGTTTTTATAGACAGCTGCAATGAGTCGTAATGATACGCTCCATCAACAACTATATGCTCTTCGGTCGTTCAAACGTCATTTGTTTGCCCGTCCAATGTGTGTACTGAGTAAACTGAGCTCATCGATCTGTCAAATCAGCTGTTTATCCGCATTGGCTCATCGTCGTCGTCGCACATCAATCGGTGTGTCTTGACAAACAGCGTCAGTCTCACAGCGTCGTCTCGAAGAAGAAACAAAATCCCTGTGTCAATATCAATAACTAGTTTAATTGATACAATTTACACGGTTTTGTACCTTTTTTTCAACAAAAAAAGATGTAAGTAAATCACATGTTTTATCAATCATCAAATTAGCATTGCATTATTCAAATCGTCGACTTTGTTTGTCGAAAAATGTTTCACAACTTGTTGTGCGAGAACAGTGTTCTCAGAACAAGCATTGAGTGTGAATGAAAGCAAAGCCTGTGTCAAACATTTTCTACACATATATTCGCGCCACAAATCTATTGAAATGTTAAGTCAAAAAATGTTGTATGATGCAAACTCAATTAAAAATAGAATTCATTTCACTTTTTTTTTCTTAGCTTAATTTTTGTAGGTTGTTGGATTTGAATAATTCGATATGTGCTACATGAGTTTAGTATCGTTTGTGACTTAGAGGCGGTCGCAAGTAAGTTTCAGTTGAAAAGATCAAAAGTGGTCGTTTATCCTTAAAATCCATTTTTTGTGTATACAAACGGCCGCATCGGAAAAGAAGGCCTCAAAAGAGGAATAATATTCATTACCGATTGAAATAATTAAAAAACAAAACAATCCGGGCGTAATTCGTAACAAAAGATAAAATAATCATTGCCGAATGCAAGCAAAAATATTTTCGAAACTCATGTGCAACGAATAAATTTCACCATAACAAAATCCAATGTTTTTTTTCTCTGTTTTTCATGACGCTGCCGTCTTACAGCTCGAAACGAAAACGCCACATATTCGCTGATTTATTTTTAATTTTTATAATCGTAAAATTAAAATTTGATGACGGTATGAAAGTGATTTCTCAGTTTGTCGATTGCTTGCTTTATTTCTCTCGTTCCCGAAAATTTCAACACAATAAAAATAAAACATTTGTCGACACCCGCTGTTCGCGTTGCAAAGCCGACACTCATTAGTCATTTTGATCAAGACGAATGTGTATAGCGAGTACGCGTCGCATGTTAATTGGCTGTGATTCGAACGGCTGTGTTTGGAATGAATGAGACTTATTTGATTCGAACATTTGTTTCACGAATATATTTCATTGTGAACAGAGTCTTGACCCATTTGGTTTCTTATTTATTGTGATCATTTGCAGGAATTAATATCTCGCTTTTTTCGCGAGAACCGGATCGTTGAGCCATGGAAGCGGAAAATATCAGCACCAGTAAGTCAATTACATTTGATTTGTTTGGAAAATGTTTTAAATAGAACTTTACCCTCTTTTTATTACGCAGAAGAAACCGATGATTCAACCGGCACAAAGGAAACGGCACCAAGGCCGGTGAAAAATAAAGCGAAGTTGATTTCACCACAGTTATTAGCGTGCAAAATCGAAACGAATACAGTTGTGATGCCGCCAGCTCTGCGACAGCGAAGTATTCAATTGCAAGCACTGCAAGCATCGCGCTCAAGTGCTGAATTACTTGCACCACAACAAGTTACAATTCAATCGGTTCAGAATGACTTGAGGCATCGGAAAAAGGCTGTCATTGTCGAAGATGTCAATCAATCGAGCTCAGCGGGAACCACAACTTCTGACGATGACAGCGGTTCTGATGACACCAATGGATATTTTGAATCATATTTGGTAATCGAATTCTCACCCAATATACAGAAGAAAACGCTACACTGGATCATCGATAAGATACGAACGAGAGCATCACGAGGAGGGGCCGGCCTACTCATCAAACGTGAGCCACAAACAAAGTAAGGACATAACATTCACATTGATTCATATTTTGGATAATAATTTGCTCATTCGTCATTGCTTGTTAGCCCTCATCGCGGTCTTATCATTCATGTGTCAGCAGAAAATTGCAAATTCTTACAAATAGCCGATGAGCTAGAGCTTATGAAACTAACACGAAGTGGCAGTATGAAGAATTTCAACATTTCTTGTTTAGCCGATTTCTTCGTCACCGATTCAATGGCCATCGATAACGTTCTCACACTGGCCGATAGGCAGATGATAATAAAGCATGCCATTGATAGCATAAAAGCGACCGAAATCGAAAAATTCATTCCGGGTTATGAACACTTGCTGCTTTATCAAGGTCAATCGCTGATAAACGCATGTATGGCCGAGGGACTCATCGTTAATATGTTTACATTACGTGATACAGTAAGTCAGCATAAAATTTACCATTTTTTTCGTTTATTTTTGGACATTTTTTTCGAGTTTCGTCAGAATAAATGGCGATTCCAAGGGAAAAACCACACATATTCAACGAAAATGTCGACTTATTGCAGGAATATTTGAAAAAACTGAAGCCATGGTACTCAAAGTCATTGAACTGGCAACCTATTAATCGAGTTCGTGATTATTTCGGTGAAAGCATCGGAATTTACTTTGCTTTTGTTGGTGAGTGATTGAAAAACATGCATTCCCATTGACTCAGGATTTTCAAATCGACTGTATTAAATTCAATTGTTGAAACGTTTCAGAATACCACACCATAGCACTCATAGTGCCTGCAATATTGGGAATCTTTCAATATTTCCTGGCTGGAAGCTATGTGCCATACTTCTGTGCGTTTTATGTCATTTGGATGATGGTACGTAATTGTCAATAGTGGTTCTCAGAGTGAGTCAGCTCGTCTACATAGAAGCGCTTCTCCGCAAGTAACGCGACTCGTTTGGAAAAGAAATTTGAAATCAATTTCAAATTCTTCAAGGGTTTGGTTTAATTTAAAATCAATGAGCCAACACTCTTTCGGATGAGCCCTTGTATGAAGAAAATCTGACCTGCCAGAGACGCAGAATAACTTCATTTGTGAATCTAGAACGATTGTGATTGCATTCATAATTGAAATTCGTCTGACTTGTTTCATTTTCACTCTTGTTTTCCTTTCAACCCGTAGCTCTTTCTCGAAATATGGAAACAAAAGTGTTCAGGCCTGGCCTACAAATGGGGTACTATCACAATGACCAATCTGGATATACCGCGCATTGGTTATTATGGGAAAATTGCACGAGATCCAGTTACAAGCAAACGACAACCGCAGTATCCCATGTGGAAGACATACGCCACAATGTATTGTATTTCATTGCCTGTGATCATAATATGCATGTTGCCAGCAGCATTTTTTGCACTCACCCAATTCTGGATGGAGGACAAAGTCTTGGCAATCGCTGGTCCAAATTCATACTGGTTATACCTGCCATCAATCGTAGAATCGATCATTGTCATCGTGTTTTCCATTCTATATGAAAAACTAGCGACTTGGTTGACGGATCTAGAGAACCATCGAACACAGGCTCAATATGAACGGCACAGGTAATTCTTGTGAAATTCGATCAAAACTGTGGATAAAAAATGATCATTTTTCGACAGAGTCATCAAATTGATCCTGTTGGAGTTCGTGAACAACTTTTTGTCGCTGTTCTACATAGCATTTTGGTTGGGAGATGTGAAAATGATCAGTAATCAGTTGATGACACAATTGCTTGTGTTCCAGGTAGGCATTTGGAATACAGAAAATCAAAACCGATCAATTCGATTCAAGACTTAAACACAATTTTGATCGTCTGATTCCAGATCGCACAAAAGTTCACGGGCACATTGCTACCATTGATAATGCCAAAGCTATATCGATTGAAAGATTCGCTCATGAACAGTTTAACATTGGTTTGTGTAGAAATTTAAAACGACTCAAATGAACACAACTAACACATCGACTTTTTCAGGTAGCGAAAAATGAATATGATGAATTGAATATAGTTCAGTTGCCAAAGGATGACCCTCGAATCGAGCAAAATGCAAACGAGAGTTCATTGCTCGAGTACGACAGTACTTATGAGGATTATTTGGAGATGTACATCCAATTCGGTTACGTTGTTTTATTCGCATCGATATCGCCTTTCTCGGCTATCGCAGCGCTCATCAACAACATCATTGAGATGCGGATCGATGCATATAAGCTCTGCTGTGTGTTCCGCCGTCCATTTGCCAAACGAGCTAAGAACACAGGAGCGTGGCTACTTGCATTTGAAGCCATGATTGTTATGTCCATCATCACAAACTGCGGCCTGCTGTATTTGCAGCCAGAGTTACGTGATTCGTCACGACCCAAGGAACTCATCGTCTTGGAATTTGTAATCGTGGAACACATACTACTTGCGATTGCGTGGGCATTGAATAAGGGCATACCGGATCGACCGTGGTGGGTACGAGTCGCCCTTGCCAAAGCGGACTACGAATCGAGACAAGCAGTCAAACGAGAAGTAAATATCCGTTGAAAACTAACAAAAACATGATATGGAAAACTGTGATAATTACGAAACACAGTCATTACACTTAATACCATTAAGTCTAACACGGATCCTAACAAAATGCTAATTTTAAGAGGTAAATTAACCAAAAGTAACTAAATCATTTGATTGACATGTGATATGGATCTATTCAGAGCAAAAAACGCAAACATTTCTCTTCGTTTTCTTTTTAGAATGCTCAGATCACCAGGAAGGTACTGTTTCGGCGATTTTACAGCCTTCGTGGACGGAATAAAGCCGATTAATTCCCGCTAAAATCATCGGATCTATTAACTTGATCATAGCTCGCGAAGATATGCATAAAATCTATTTATTTGTTAACTAATAATCTCAGCATATACAAACATAATTAAAATCAACGCATTTATGATATGAAGAATAGAGTAGCATCCCGTAAATCACTCTTTTTTGCAATAAAGTATTATCAAAAACACCAAAATTGGTTAATTTTATCGTATCATTTCCATAAACACCTTCAAAAAAGATATAAATAGAGAAAGTCAGGGCAAATTCTTCTGGAAGAATGATGTAATCATGTAATTCATTTGAAAATCGGCTCTCAAGCTAAAGTAATTTCGTTCTTATTCTAAAATACTTAATATGAACCAAATGGAAGCGTATTTAAATGGAAGCGCTGAAAAAGTTCTCCAAACTGTCAAACGAAATATGACAAATGGATCCTAATTACAAACACATACACACACACTGACCGTACCGTACCGTACACATAAATGTAAACTGTCATTTCATATACTCATGTCTGTATATACCTGTTGCAGTTTTCATAGTGTATCTCTTTCACACTTTGCTGCATGAGCATATTGTAAACAGTGCGACGAAATAAAATTCGACCCTACACACGAACACATATTCATTCCAAATGTTTTTACTCTCCATGATAGCAGATAGTTTTCGCTACTAATCATTCATTGTTTTCCGATCGTTTGTGTAACTAGCAATTATCATTCGCCCAGAAGAATTTGTGACCGAATATTTTCGTTAAGAATTGCTCAGTTCAACCGAAGTTTAAAAATTTAAATTTAAATCGGAGTAAAATGGCCAATATTCTACAAAACAACGCTGCTGCTGAATCAACTGCAAAGCTGTACCTCAACGAAAAGTTTGCTGACGTTCATTTTGTGTTTGATGTTGATGGCGAAATTCAGAAAATTCCAGCGAATAAATTAATTTTAGCTGTCTTGAGCTCTGTGTTTGAGGCCATGTTTTTCGGATCGTTGCCTGAATCAAAAGAGGTCAAAATTGTTGATGCATCTCCTGGAGCGTTTAAAGAGTTTCTTCAGTTCTTCTATTTGGACAAAGTGACGCTGACTATTGAGAACGTCGAAACCGTTGCCCGTTTGGCCGATAAGTACGACATTCTTGATTGTGTTAATGCATGTGCCGCATTCGTCGAAAGCCAATTGACTCTGGATAAAATGTGTTGGGGCTATCAATTGGCCATATTCCTCAAGAATAAGAAAATAATCGAGTTCTATGAGAAGAACATTAGCGAATCATCGAAGGAAATCTTTGCGTCGGATGGATTTCGTCGATGTGACGAGGAAACACTGGGAAACATTCTACGTTTGAATTTAGCATGTAGCGAGACCGATGTATTCAACGCTTGTGTGGAATGGGCTAAGAATGCATGCAAAGAAGATGGACTAGATGAAAATCAACTGGAAAACGTGAAAGCACAGCTCGGCAATAGTTTCAAATCGATTCGATTTGGGGATATGTCGATCGGAGCATTCATTAAAATCCACACGTCGTATAAAGACCTATTCACACCAGAGGAATTCCAAGACATCATACTCCAGATAACAAGCACTGAATATGAATCGAAACTATTCCAACAAAGTCCACGGTCATACACATGGGATAGTGCTAAAGTATTGCAATGTGACCGAGTAAAAGCAACCAACACATCTAGAGGCGTTCAAAGTGTTGAAATAGTTTCATTCTCGTCAAATCGACCAGTTTTATTGGGAGAAATAAGGTCCGCTAGCACATACTTCAACGGGTACATTTACAAGGGTGGCTTTGAAGCAGATGTGGCTGTCATTGAACTCGAAGATAACACATTCCATTCAACCGTCTTCCCAAAAATACTCTACAAAGGATCATTCAACACATGGGATAACAATCAGCTGAAGATGGTTTTGCCCAAACCCATTTTTATCAAGCCTCATATCATCTATGAAATCCACGTGAGTAAAATACAATCTGGTTATTCATACAGTGCAACATGGAATCCAGAAGTGAAGCTGAAAGACGGACTTAAAATCCATTTCCATCGCAATCCATCCCTCGGACATGACAACGCTTCAACTGGCTGGATTTCTGCTTTGATATTCAACAAAGTTTAAATAATACAATCAAAATGTTCACAAACAATTACTTGAATCGGATTGCATTTATAGAACAAAGAACTATGTACGAACAATATCCACTTTTTCATCATAATTTATATCGATCCAAATATCGTCAAATATAATAACATTGTTTATATATGCTTTTAGCGCAGTACGCCAGAAATCACCACAATATTCTTGAATTCTTGTTGTGAAATAAATGTCAACACAAACAGTTTAACATAACCCTACATCAGTTTTTTCAGAGTATAGAAATCGTGTTCCACTTTATTTGAAGCAAAAATATACGATACACTTTCAAGTCCAATGGTATGATGATTCATTTTAATGGTGGTTTTAGTTGTGATTTGGTTCTGGACTATGGAGTGCAAATTAGGTGATAAGGAGCGCGAATTTTGATGTGCCGATAATACTAATACTATATTAGAATCGGAAAACAAATTTAAACTTTTTTTTTCGATTTTTGCCTGTGTTGCGACCGTCTACATGGGAAGTTTGTATGAAAACCTCGGAACGCGGCTGCAATAACATTGGTTTATATGGTAAAATCTACACATGGTCAAAACTCGTATCTCCCCGCGGAATTCGGCAAAAATAATGTGTCCGTCGCTCCCAAATCCTTATTGTATACAAATTGATGACTTCTTATTGAGCCATCATTCAACCAGCTCCGAAGTTTCTATTCCCTCGGACGCCGAAAACTCATTCTTTCTCGCTCACACTTACGTGCAATTTTTACGTGTATTACAAGCTTAATCATATATTTGGTCATGATAACAGCCATATTTCAGTTTTTAATGTATGCTATATTAAAGCTTATGTTCACAGCTAAACAATAAGGCCAATACGATCCACCTATGATGTCCAGTTGCAAAGTTATGGCTCCCCAAGTGATGACATGTCGACTTTTTGCACTACTTTGGCACTAATCTTCACTTGAGCAGCCATAAGTGCCCAACCAGACGTCACAGGCGTGTGGCATTAGCCTTATTTTTCAGCTAAGAACATCAGCTTTAAAATGCCATACCGCTTGAACTGAAATATATCATCTGTCATGATATATATTTATATCTGTCATGACTCAATGTTCACCAAACCACCAAAAATTGGTCCAAAAACCAAATTTTTTCCATGAAAATGAATTTGTTTCCTCTCAAATATTAAAAAAACAGTACATTCAAGCTTATATTATCTGTACCAATGTTTGAGTAATTTTTAAAGATGTTTTTCAATGTATATGAGTGAAAAATTTGATTTTTGGGACCATTTTTCGAGGTTGTGGTGTACATTGAGGCAGATTAGACCATGACAGATGATATATTCTAGTTTAAGCGGTATGGCATTTTAAATCTGATGTTCTTAGCTGAAAAATAAGGGTATAAAAATAGGATACGCTGCGAGTTATGGTTGAAAAATGGTAAAAAATGGGCACTTTTGCGATTTTGAGGCCCTAGATGCATTTTTTGGGGTAAGCATTTTTTTCCTCCCATTCAATACCTACAACTTTGCTCAAGACACAAAAACAATATTCCCTACGGTTCACCGAGATATAACCTTGTGAAAATGTCGAAAAAGTGCTCAAAGTCCAGTTTGAGCCAAAAATACATAATTCCATAAAATGAAAAAGGTAGCCAAGTTGGCAAAACGAATGATGCAGAATTTCTAGTTTTGGTAAGTACTTTCAGCAGCGATACTCAAAACTTATGCCCGCATCGATGACCGATGTTGCACTGTCTTATGAATAATGGTATTTGTCCTTTTATTTTCTTTCTCTCTCTTTGTTGTTGTCCTAAATGCTAGTGTAAATGTAATGTATGTGAGGTACCAGAAAAATACACTATTCGAGGTTTTGGCCAAGATAAAATGCCATTATTTCGGAAAAATAACCCAAAAGAACCCTCATTTACCCAATATTTTAGTCAAAAATCAAATTTTTCATTTTTCTGTGTTTTGTCTTTTCTGCGTTTTTTTTTTCTGTGTTTTGTCTTTCTGTGTTTTTTTCTGCGTTTTTTTCTGCGTTTTATTTCTGCGTTTTTTTTCTGTGTTTTGTCTTTCTGCGTTTTTTTTTCTGCGTTTTGTCTTTCTGTGTTTTTTTTTCTGCGTTTTTTTTCTGCGTTTTGTCGTTTCTGCGTTTTTATTTTCTGCGTTTTATCCGGATACCTCTAACGCTCTAGCATGAATTCTTAAGTTTAAATTAAGTGATAATGACTTGATTAACATTCGCAAAATAGACAACAGTGAGTGAGAGTTCTTCTCAGTTTTCAACAGAAAATAGATTACCTCAAAAATTGTACAAATAGGATACTTAATCATAATAATTGACGAGTCATGCATGTTTTCAATGGTGAAGAAAGTCTAATAACTATTCTATTCATTACAAACCCGTCGACTGAAATTTTTTTTAAAAATAATTTAACCATTTACTGTTGAATCAAAATATTTTCTTCTTGAATCAATCATGCTATTGAATTTATCAGGCAGGTAGATTATTGTTTTTTTCTATACGTAACTATCAACATTTCTAAGCGGTTTTTACCAATTTAAATACTTCCATTTTCTCCAAATTCTTTCAAAGCATAATGAATCATATCATGTTCCTTCAATCAATCGAAAGTTATTTTGTTTTACCTTACTCTTTTGTAGCTTTTTGTATCTAATCTTGGCAAAAGGAATGTTTCAAATGAAAAACGAAACAATTTAACAATATAGAATGATATATTTTTAATGTCAAAATATGAAAAAAAAAACGATTGCGTTACAATGTAACACTGTTACATTTTAATTACTTAACTCGATTGTTATTGTTTAATATTAAATAAAGTATAGAAATATGGTTAATCATATATTGTGACAGGCTCTAGCCTCATCATTGTTTGTGTATTTACGATTAATTGTTCGGCTCTGGCCTTATCGTCGTTTCATCGATCATTCAGTGTCCATGGCGTCGTTTTCTCTGAATGATTTTATGCCACGATTCAAAATTGAGGCAACATGTGAGTCCTTGGGCAACTTTTGATGATGAGCTTTGATCAATTTAATAGCCAAGTCTGTTGGGTTGCTTTTGAATTTGCATTGGCTGACACACTGCGAGATCGCTTCGGGGTAATTGCGCTTTCTGATCGGTACATATCCACTCTCATCAATGTTTCCATCTTCGAATGCGATGGTTTGTTCATGTGTCCAAGGACGTGGGATCAGTCCGAGGAATTCACAATATGCATGTTGCTCTTCTTCATCAGCAAAGTACATCATACCAGAGTACACGCCAATTTGAACCTCATCTTCAACGGAAATGGAGCTAGTTGTTGTCATTCCGGTAACTTGTAGTCCAGGTTCACGAATCAAATTGCTGTGCAAATTACTCAATCTGGCGCGGTACATGAAAAGTGTTGCATTTTCACTCTTGCGAAAAGCTGGGATCAGTTGATTACACTCGAACGAGCTCAAAAGAATCAACACATCTTTGGTGCCCGCATTTTTTATGCACGCAACCCAGCAAACTGGCCGCAGAAAATCGTTACATGCCTGCGATTCGTTTTCAATCACCATTGTGAAGTCTTTGGTGACCAACAAGTGACTGGCCCATGCATCATCGTTGTTTTCACAAAACTCAAACATCTGCGTGTTTGAGAGACTCGCTACGATAGAAAGTAATGCACCATCGGCTTTCATATCATCAAATGTGCTACCAATGCCAGCACCTTCAAGCACCAATTGTTCCAATCGATCGTCGAAATGTGGTTTTAATGCCTGGGCACATCTTGGCCGTTCGATTTGCATTTGCTCTTCAATTTCTTGTTCCAATTCTTTTTCTTGTTCATCGTCGAGCGTATGTATGAATCTCTTCATTTTCGGCGCTAGCTTCAGCAACTTTGCGTTTATACCATTTTGCATGTCTTTGGTGAATTCACTAATAGGTGATTCTTCACTGCACGAAAAAGCTAGATCGCCAAATTTGTCCCATACGATACGTCTCAGCAGGACTTCTTCCTTCTCGCCGTAAATTGTCTTCAGTTTTACATAGTCATCATCAACGCAGTTTTCGTATAGCTTCTCCAAGGGATGTTTATCGTCGGTGTCAACTTCCATGGCATTTGCATCGATCGTATGTTCCATGAAGTTGTCATACATTTTGTGTCCAATCAATTTCTTTGTGTAGTTCACGGCGCCAGCGGTCCAGTGTGCCATGTTGGTTGTTTCGAAGAGACGGCTGTTGTTTTCAATGAACTCCATTACGTGTCTGCTTTCGACTCGGCGCTGTGAAGATAGCTTTCTTAAGCGAATATCGGCTTCATTTGAAGCCCAGAACATAATCGATTGTGTTGTTTTTAATTGACGCATTCGCATGCATGCTTGCACCGTTTTATCGCGTGTTATATCGCCCGACAATGTTACACAAGCCATCCAATCCGCTGGAAATTTGAGATCGGTGCCGCGAGTGTGAACATCATCCAAAAACACCACGCAATCCGATAGGTCTTCGCGATAAACGGAGTAATCAAATTCGATCACGATGCCGTTACGGTCAATCGTTTGCAGTGTGTCAGTCTCGTCAAAATACACAGCTGCGTTGCGATTCAAAGCCAGCTTTAGCCATTCAACAGCCACTTCTTTGTTGTTCAGTTCGAGCATCAGAGCGCCTGAATCTAGAAGCACGGAAATGTCGTGACTCACGAGTTCCTGAAGAATTTGGTGGGCTTTTCTCATCTTGGCAGGATTTTGATACACCATGTTCCTTGGGTCCATAAGAATTTGTCGCATTTCTGCGTTGGTATTCTCGAGCTCGGCCAGATCGTTCTGAAACAAAACCAATTAAGTACGAGATGGTCATTTGATTTCTTCTGATATGGCGATTGTCATGAAACGATGGACTCTCGTTTAAACCATAAATTAAAATCACCACAACCACCAACTTTAATATTTGATGCCAAACTGATTTTGTGCCTTTCGAAAATGTGTGAATTACCTGTGCAATCGTAATGGGAAGAATGTTTTTCGTATCGTTGGTTCCACTGAATCCGGTGACTCGATGCTCGAGACTATCACTGCACAGATCCCAGGCTGTGCACATGAGCTTCTTCTCAAAGATTTTCAGCTCTTGTAGATAGACTACGTTCGAAAGCCAAAAATCGATCACATTCATATTGTATTGGAACAACGGGAACAGTAGACCATCACGTTGATCTGGATCATCCAAGTTAACGCCACTGTACGATTCAATCGACGGCACAAGTCGGTCATTTGGAATGCTCTTGATCCACTTTGCATAAATGTCGGCTTTATCTGGTGAATTCTCCAAAATGTTGAACACCTGATGGAATGTTGAAATACATGTAAACGATTAAATTGCACAGATTTGATGAGGAATTAATGAATGATAAAGACGTCTTCTACACGAGCACAGCTTGAATGAAGCATCCTTTACATATTGAACGTAAAATTTCTCGTTCAAAACACACAAAGAGTTACTCTTTTGAACAATATCCGCTCCATACGAAGTAGGCTCTTGAGGTTTGTTCTGTGCTTGGGCCGAAGACGTCATTGCGTTTTTGATTCATTTCAAATTCAATATATTACCTGATACAGCTGAGCATCCGATAATCCTGGAATGCGAAAAGAAAATGTGTTAAGTTGATTTGAACACTTGTGGGTATGTGTGTGATATAACGAAACGAACCTGAGTAATAGTAGCTCATTTGTGTTAAGCATACGGCAACATCTGGATGTCCAAACTCGGTCATTTCTGCTGCTACCTAAAATTGAATACAAAATAGAGTTTGGCCTCATCCCATTCGAAAGAATGAATAAATGAAAAACGAAAATTACATCTTTCGCTTTGAATGGTATGGCCATTTTGCGTTGACCTTTGACATCAACTCCGTAGTTAACGCGCCATCGTTTGGTTAATGCTAATTTCAGCACTTCGAATCGCAAGAGACCACTTAAAATAAGAATGATGTTTTGTTTTTCCTCGGAAAAGACTTCGATCGTTCTCAATGTACTTCGGTCAATTGCTTTATTGCTCAGCAAATATTTCAGGCTCGGTTTCTTTGCGTCATCGATACCAGGAAAATCAATGTCAATTCGGCCGGCGAAGAAGTCGTCGATCAGCGCATCTTTCAGAGCGTCATAGACGCTATCATCGAGAATGCGACATGGGGTAAATATATCTGTCCGACAATTGCCGTCATGATTGTGCCCAAACTCGACCTTTTCCTTTCCGTATTCTGTGTACAGTCGATGCATGTGGATTGGGACGCGTTTCAGCAGTGCTTGTGCCACTAACCACCGGTGTGAATCACCATCCGGCTGCTTTTGATTGCCCACCGTATAGATCAGTTGATACTTTGCGTTCAATATGGCATCGGATTCATCCAATATGCTTCGCACATTCGTATTCGTCCATTTGTGCAAATCCAGTAGTTGTTTGGCTATTGTGAAATTTCGATTCTCACCCGTTTTGAGCTGCGATGCAATCGATTCATAGATCTTGAGCTGGAATGACAAACGATACTCTGGCAGCGTGAGAATTACACCTGTCAAAAAAAAGGGAAAAACACAAATCATTTAAATACTATATCAGAATAAAATGTATAACACAATGTAAAACCATACCCTTTTCCCGTTTGCATTCTTCATAAATATCCATAATGTCGTGTGCATGACTTTCGATTGGCATATCTCGTCGACATGGGAAGACGTACATTCGTCGATCCAGCATTCCACCCAAGTATTGACGCAATGACTTGAGATTTCTTGCGAAAAGTGATTTCAGCACAATGATTTGGCAAGCCTGAGTTCCATCAGCCAACCGAGCCGCTAAGATTGGTACAATCACCGCCGTTTTGCCTTCGCCCATGTTCAATTGCATCACGGAATGCTTTTGTTTGCTGGCAATTTCCGGCGGCTCAATCATCCGCTTGGCAATTTCAATTTGGATGCGACGGATCGTTACGTTTTGCTCAATTTCAAATAACAGCCACTCGGGATAATCGTATGGTGACCAATTTGTGTGCGGTTCATTCTTCTCTTCACGATCTAGTGCTGCTTGCTGATCTGATCGTCGTGAGTAAGCCTGAATGCGGCTCTCGCGCTGCTCTCGGGTTATTTCTATCGCAAATGCACCAATCAAACATCTCAAGTCCGAGTCAATATTTGCGTCGGTGATTTTCGGCAGAAGCAAACTTGGTGCAATCCTTGGAAATATGCCAGCTTGAATCAAGTGAGAGGTTTGGGCTGAATCACAAACTTTCTTGTAAATTTTCCACCAATCATGCGCCGATCGAAGTGATTCAGTTGTATTCATTTGCCATACGTCTTTGGCCTCTTCGATATGTTGTCGCAATACATCGGAATTCGCAATATTTTTGCGTATTTTTGCTTCGATATCGATCAAAAATTTGCTCCATTTCTTTGCTTTTGGCGGTTGCGACAAACACTGCGGCACTCTTATTGAATTAAGGCCAGTCAGTGATTGCAGTCGGGCTTCAACTCGTCTGATGAAAGTATTCAGTTCATAGAGTGCATACCATGTTTTTAGCTTTTCATTTACAGCAACGTTGGCAGCGGCAAAGTCAATGTCTTTGTATGTCCATCGTTGAGTAAAATTGAACGATTCGCACGGTCTTGCTTTCCAGTAGCTTTTTACTGATGCCGTTATATCATCAATGATTGTAATTAGGGCTGGGTCGCGTATATGTTGCTTGAATCGTCGCTTCAATAAAGTGCTCACAGCATTTGCAGTAAAATTTCCAGCGGACATGTCAAATGAACTGTTCGCCGGCGGATTTATATGCTGAAATTCGTTTGGTTTCACGACAACTGCTTGCAATGCTAAAATCGGTTTGATATTCTCTTCACGGTGCGCAAAAAAGCTGAGAATCATTGCAAATTGATCCGAAGTGAGTTTTCGCCGAACAGCAGCATCATATAATGAAATCCATAAATCGCGAAAATCTTCGTGCACCGAATGGTTTAACAGCTCTTTTAGGCGTTCGCTATGTTCAAGTCCACCCAACGTCTTTTCTGTTGTTTTATCAGTGAGAAATTGTTTCAAATTCAGATTTGTTGGTACCTTGAATTTTTGCTTGTGGTACAAAATGCACACGGTTCGCGTATCATCTGAAAATGTGAATCGCTTTTGGAGTGGTGCGGTTTTCAAGTCTTTGTGTTTGATAAATGTGTTTGAAACATTCAGATTTGGGTTCAATTGCTGGCAACGTCGATGGTCACGCTCGTTCATCTTCATATCTGTTTTGAGATCGATATGTTTGCCCGAATTTACGCCATGCAGATCACCTAGTCGTTGGCTATCATCCAGCAATTTCTTCGCAATATAAATGAAGCAGTCTTGTGCGGCATGTGTGGGAATACCTCTGGGCCATGTAACAGACTGTATATCTAAATCATCAAGATTCCTGAGTGGCGTCAAAGCGGCAATATCTTTCAGGATTCTTATTGCTTCGGGATCATAAGGTAACGAGGACCAAGCGAAGGCGGACTGAAGTATTTGTATAGCACGTTCAGTACCCGACATTTTGGTGAATGGCTCAATCTCACCGTATGATGTGATAGCATGTAGGTACGCCAGATAGAACCAGGAGGCATGAGTTTCATTGCTTGATTTTAGCTGGCAACAAAATTTATCCACTTGATATTGATAAAATGGGGGGCTTCGTAATTCATTGCTCGTATTAATCCATACATCGGCGAACATATTTGCGTTCTTGGTGTGGATTGATCCATTTGGAATGAGTATGATTTTCTTGTCATCTTTGATGCTTTCCAAGACCAAACCGTTTCGAAACCCGCACAATGTGTCGATTTTCTGCTCGCGAATCACACGCATCCCATTGAATTCATTCGATATCAAATCACAATGTTTCTTTGATTTCTTCGGACATTTGACGGTGAAACGTAAATTCATGCGCAATAATTCGACTTTGGCTTCTTCAGTCTCTTCAAAAAATAGCACATGAATGTGTTTTGGATGTTCCAAACGTTGCAGTTGCTTAGTGATATTTTTATAGCTGTTGCTCTTTATATCTAGCATTGGACGTAGCGTTTGTTCATGAATCAGATGTTTATTATTCAGGTTCAATCGATAATCAACGGTGGTTTCTTTTGAAAAGTGTTTCTTTCCAAACGTTCTTCGACGAAATTCGATGAAGTTCTCGTTTTTATCCCACCAGTGACTGTAATTCTTGACAAGATCGTGTGGAAAATCGTCACTGAATAAGACACTTTCATCAATGAGCTCCTTTTCGAACACGTTGACTTTTCTCTCGATGATGATGATGCTGTTGTTGTCACCCATCATTTTAAATTCATAGCTGCAATCATTGTACTTTTGTACGGTGGAGAAATTGTGCTGTGCATCCGGTTGCACTTCAAATACGACGTCTTCAAAGAACCATCGGTAAATGTTGCTGTGCATTACTTCGCTGGGAAGACGTGATAAAGGCAAGCTATCGACCAAAAAATCACCAGTGATGATGTCAATAGATACAGTCTGAACAGTCGAGTCCACCGTGGCTTTCACAACTAGGATCTGCGGGAATTCGTGATCAAAGTAAATTTGATTGAATACTGCGTATTCCGAACGTGGCCATTGCTTGCGGACCAATCGGAATATAAAGTCAGCATCTCTTTCGATCACATCTGTCACTTTTTCTTCCATCGACACGCCCACACTTTCCATCAATCGAAGAAACATGCGCAAATTGGCTGGCAATTTCTCTTCATCGCTTGAATACATGCGTATGTTGTTTTTCAAGCTGATAACAAAACGCAACCAGGATGCCACTGCCATTCTGCTTTCCGTGTTATTTGCAAAAATATTGCGGTAGTATTTGTGCTCTGGATGAATGAAAAACGTTAAGCCGCCAATGATTGCAATGTATATCAGTTTCAAACGCAAGTTTCGTTCGGTGTTTTCGTCGGGGTTTGCCATATCTCGGATTTTCTTTTCAATTGTGTCAATCCATTCTAAAGCAATTTCTCGTACACTGCTCAAAAGCTTCACAATTTTACCGACCAATGCTACGGTGTCGTTGATTTCGAAAGCGCGGACGGCGATCAATGTTACTGTGAACAGTTTGAATGGGTGCATCCAGTTGTTGGTCTGTTGCTCAAGGACGTTTGCCAACAAATTGATCATCGCGTCGCAAAATTTAGTATCACTAAAATCGATGTGTGATTCGCGAATAAAACCACCTTCACCGCTCACCTCGCATTCCCACAGTGTCTGCATCACTAACGCTAGAACGGCCTCCTTCTCGAATGAAAGTGCTTCGGTTGCGATCAGAGCATACAACTTTCTGATTTGTAATCGATTGCCATCGGAGCGAAGCGTCCCAAAATTCTTATACTCGGACAGCGTCATATCGGTTCCGCATTTTGATTGGCTCGATAAGACTTGGTTCTCGGTGTGTTCAGTGCTATGCAGTGCCCATTGGTGGCCAACATATTCGTCTTGCGCCTGAAGCGTACATGCGTTTTTGATCAAACGGATCGTTGAAAATGAGGGCATTGTCCTATGTTTGGCATGAAATCGACAGTCGGATATGTTTTTAAGCAGGACTTTTCTCAAACTATTATCCACGACAGAGACACCATCCGTATTTTGCTTTACGGTGTAACCAAGTTTGACGTGTTCACTTTTTGAGCTATTGTATTCCGAAAGCTTAGACTCGGTCCAACTGCCTTTGATTTTCAACAACTTGGGCTCACCAAAGCAAAATTCAGCAAATCCATAGAGTACGTCTCTCAAACAGGCGATGACATCGGGAATTTTCAACTCAAACACAATCGCATATTGATCTGTTTCATTACTGGGCAAAAGGTGTTCATGTGGCTTAACACAAACCTCTTTGGCTTCTCGTTTCAATGCACATTTCTTACATGTTTTCGAATGGGTATCCTTATAGGTAGAAGCCCAATGGGAGTCGTTTTCGTGGTCCAAGCGCTCTGCTTGGCGTTTCAGTTCATTGGCCTTGTCACATTCTTCATTCCATTTTTTTATCTTCCGGTCCTTTTTGTCGTTGTCTTTGGCCAAAATAGCGTCACGAATTTGTTGCATTTGTGCGCTTTCCTTAGCAAATTTGACCGAAAATGAAGATTCGGAAATTTCCTTTTCCTCAATCAAACTCGGATCGTCAGCATTTTGGTTGCGATCGCGCAGATACGATTCAATTTCAAGGGCGATGCGCATGTCCGTGCTTTGTGGTAACAACAAATAGTCGATCATCTGTGATTTGAGTCCAATTCGATGTTTCAGAAGCATTGGACACTCTTTCGTTGCCTGAGCATCCAACATTGCAATGATTTTCAAGCGAACCAACAGCATTCGGCTGATGAACAGTTGATTGTTTTTGTATTTGATTTCTGCAAAATTTGCATATGCAAACGACCATGAACGTAAGTCCTCAGCGTTCCAATGATCGTCACCAATTTTCGCTTGATATAAAATGATTCGCTCAAAATCAATCCAAAATATGCGGTGATCGATCTCACGCTTTACTTTATTTATGCTCTCAAGACAATCAACACTGGGCATTTCTGATTTGAAGTACCGATCATACGTGATGTATTTGGGAGGTTTGAAACCATCGTCAATTTGTAGCAAAGTTTTCTTTCTTTCTTCCAAATACTTTTCCAACTTTGGCATTTTGTAGGAAATATCTTCCTCAAAATTCAGTCCGGTCAAAACAGGTAGCTTGGCGTTTTTTTCGTGCATTTTATTGATTGGAGCATCGATTTTTTTGCGAATCATTTTGATTGTTTTTTTCGCCTCGTCAATTGTGCTGTTATACAAAGAGGTCATGTCATCTGTGATCCTCATATCTGATAGCTTTTCGATGCGTCGCGCCAATTTGGCCATCACCTGCGACAGCAAATCAATGTTGAATTTATTGTTTGGACTCATGTATGCAGCAATCAAAAATTTCAACATGAACATTTTGTAGACCGATTTACAGCGACCGGCACCCAGTTGAAATGCAAGACTGTGCTGCAGCATTGCCTTGACGCTCATGTAGAAACTTGAGCGACGGAAAAAGACTTCACTGTTGCCCCACACTTCGTCCCGAATCTTCTTTGTGATGACTGGAAACTCTGCTGCTGTAGACTGTTCATCCATCAGAAGTGTTATCAGCCATTTCGACACACAATCCAAATGTTTGTGTCCAGCCGGCAACTTTTCATTCAAAACACACAGCTGATTGGAGAATACGGGCGATCGTAGCATTTGCGAGAATTTCACTTTGACCGCTGGTTGCGGGTAGTTGAACTACGAATGAATTAAATTAAATGTGTTGATTAATTCCGTAAAAATATATTTTTAAACATTTATCATTTTGGATGAACGAAAATTACCTCAATGTCACTCTCACGGTGGTAGATTTCGCTGGAATGCAATCTTCCCGGGAATGCAGCTACAATCACATTTTGTACATCGTTCGGTATTTCATCCGGCGGCACATGAATCATGATGGCACAGTGCTGACGACGTATAAACATGGCAAAATTATCACCGGGGCCCAGTTTGTTGATGTCCATCCAAACGGTAAGCGGTTTGCATCCATGGTGATAACTTTGCAATGCCAATAACAGCTCTAGTGTTTTTGGCGGTATCCATTCTTTAAAGTCTTTAGCAATTTTCACAAACTGATCTATCAGTTCCAGTTCCGTCTCATGTAAATTCTCTGAAGTTTTGTTTGGGAGTACTCGTGGCAAGACGACGTGATGAATGAGTGAATCTTCCTGTATGGAAATAGCATGATTAGTTATCGATTTACCACTTTGTTTTATTTGAAGAAAAATATACCTCCAAATTTGGATCTGAATCCAAGTCATCATCGCTCGTTGAGTCGTACCTTGGGTCATCCATTGTGGATGAGTTTGTCAAATGTATGTCAATGAGGATTATTGGTCAATTGAGTGAAGGCGCTGGACATAAGGCTCTGAAAATTAAGATTGTTTCATTAGTTATTGAGAATTGCTACACACATTTTGAACATATACGTCCAAGCATGGGAAAAACGTTGATTTTGGCATGTTTGAAAACAGAATCTTCCTGATTAACTCTTCCTTGAACTGAATGATGTCTTCGTTCAGTGCACACGATGTGACATTTCATTGCATTTCATGCTTCAGTTGTGATTGGACAAAGTCAACGCAAAACCAATCATTGGAACAAGTCTATCGCAGTGATCATAGCAAATGAGAGCAAGGACTGCTTGTGGTGTCAATGAAACATATTCATACGCTCTGAAATTTACTAAAATTTACTGCAAATCCCCATTTTAATGACTTTTTGGTCGAACGACGTTCATAACGGATCATTCGCACCAAAAGAATCTTTTTTTTTTCAACTGAGAATAGCATTGGAAGCGATTTTCCAATGCAGCGTCGTTGAAATGTCTTTGTATGAATAGGTTGGATGCCGCAAAGCCACCATGATATGTACACCACCCGTATGGGCATATGAATTCCGTTAGTCTGATTCTCATTTCGATATTTTATTTTCAATAGCAACTCGTGATTCTTTGCAGTGGCAAAAATACATTCCAATTTATATATTCACTTTCAAACTGTGAAGAGGTTATGGCACCATCACAATCGATTTTGTATTCACAGCATAAATCAATTGGATTGTATTTGTCTATTTTTACGAAACTCACCTGGCCTAAAAAAAGTCTATTTCGCATGAATCCAGATTTCCTTAGTCCGCTGAACTCTTTGTCTCAGGCACAAAACTACGATATAATCCGTTTGTTCAATCTCTCTTTCGATTTCACAACTATTCGCAATCGGATTTGATTTTTCTCTATTTGCACGAAACTATCGATCTTTAAGAGCACATACTTTAGAAAATGTTTGATATTCCAATTCACGTGATTATTTCACAACCAAAAGTGTTTTTATGTCGATGAAAAAAGCAAGAAAAATCAAACGATAACTTGAACCATTTCAATTGAACATTTTTCGCGTCAGTTCTCTTTCACAGTCTGTGTACAAAATCGCGCACACTATGTTGCAATAAAACACTGTTTTAGCGTTGCGAATCGGTTGGCGTCTCTCAATGTTGACGTTTCATAATTTGCACACTGAATTTTGCACAGCGCTATTGTCGCCGCATCAACCATTCGACGATTTGGAGAGAAACACTTGCACACGATTTGGCTCTATGTTTTGTATGTGTTGAGTCTCACCAAAGAACATTCAATTTCTGTTTGAAATTTATTAAGACACATGAACGATCTGATCGTTTTTATTAATTTTTTTCCAGCCACATGTAAATTGTAACCACGAAAAGTTCGTATACACAATAAAAATGATGAAATAGCCGTTTCTATTTCGAAACGATGCTATGTTTATTTGTCGCCATCAACAAAACGTCGGAATGCGCGCCATTTATTTGTTTGGTTAAAACCAACAAAAAAAACATCTCTTTGATTATGCTGCACTGATCGACGCTCATAACTGTTCAATCGGTTCGTGTGGAGAAAGAGAAAGAGTAAGAGAGAGCAATGAAAAAAAAATTCTTAGAAAAGCAGGCGACAATACAACACAACGCGTTGAACGTCTGATGCCAGTGTGACAGTGTACGAAATATTTGCTACCGTGATTTGTATCGCCATCATTCGCTTCGATTGTGTGTAAATATTTGAAACCTAGTTTCGAACTGTGAACAAAAAAAATGGCATCTTCAGCAGAAACAGATACATGGTGTGATAAATTGTGGACGAAAGTAAATCGAAAGGGTCCTCACGTATATGTTGATTTTTTCGAAGACTTTGAAAGCGATTATGGTGAACAATTCAAAGAATGGGATCAGCAACTCAACAATCAAGACTGGAAGCACAAATTCTTGAATCTACAAAATGATGCCGTGAAAAATAAAACCGTTGCCAATATGTTCGATAGCCAAGGAAACGTGCACTTTCAACACAGAGAATTTCACAAAGCCATGGAAATGTACAATCAAGCATTGTGCTTTGCTCAATTCAATTCAGCGCAAATGGGTGTTTTGTATGCGAAACGTGGATTTTGTTTTTTCAACTTGAACATGTACATTGAATGCATGGCCGATACGGAATTGGCATTGGGCACTGATTTTCCATCCGCATGGATGTCAAAGCTGGACGAATACCGGTCCAATTGCATGCAACACATGTCTAAACCCATATCGGGCACACCAAACACACCAACATTAAGTTTCGGCACCGACACCACATTCCCGTGCCTAGCAAATGTGATTTCCATCCGGAACGATGGCCTCGAAACGAGCATCGTGGCAAACACGGACATTGAAATCGGGAAAACGATTCTAATTGAAAAGGCATTCACATCTATTGCAGTTGGATATGATACGGCTTTGTGTTACGGCTGCCAAAAAATGTGCAAAAACTTGTTTCCCTGTGAATATTGCACCGATGTCATGTTTTGTAGCAACGAATGTATGCAGCTCAACGGTGTGCACAAAATCTCATGCGGTGAAGCATACAATCGAATGCCCAGCCACATAAAATTGGTTGTTCATTCGATTTTGGAAGCGATTACTTCATTTTCAACGATTGGTGATCTGATTATGTTTGTCAGAGCCACTGTAGCGCAAAAAGACATCGACATGGAGGAGAATGCCAAAATATCGAATTACGGCTTATTTTTGGGCTTGAAACCATCTTCGAAGGAACCACCGATACAGCTCGTTTATGAAGCGTACACAACGCTGATGTCGATGTCGACAATTCAATCAAAGTTCACCACAAAGACAGAGCAAAGTTTTCTGATGCATCTAGTCGGTCATCACGCAACGGTTTTACTGAGCAATTCTTACGGTGGATTCGAACCAAACCAGAATCAATTCATTTTGGCGACAATGACAAATGTGGCTTCACTATTTCAACATTCCTGCACACCAAATCTCATGCAACATACCATTGGCAATCAAACGATCTTCATCACAAATCAACCCGTGAAGCAAGGCGACCATTTATACATCGACTACTGTCCAGAAGAGCATGTGACCGAACAACGAAAGGAAATGCTGAGACAAACCTACGATATCTTCTGCACGTGTGCCAAATGCGATCCACAAGAGCACCCAATACCTGACCCAATGCTATCGAACGATCCATCGTTTTTGTACATAATACGCTACAAGAAGTACATCGGTAGCGGAACATCGGCTCTTTTGAAGCAAAAATGTATCAATTTCCTGCAACAGCATCGAGAACAGCCATGGTCAAAGGAAAAGGAATACGTTATCAATGCTTACAGTAGATGCATGTTGGAAGATTTTGGCCATGGAAAGTATTAAACTTACATTGACTATCATGACTAAGTTGTTTTTGAATAAAAAAAAAAAATGAATATGTCTTATTTTCAAACGTCAGAACATTGAAAACATAACGAATGAAACTGTATTATTCAAAGATAAAACGAAAAGAATGCTCTTATTCATACAAAAAGCATAAGATTCGAACAATTTACATTCATAAAATGCATTTATTTTTTCAACAATCATCAATAAACTCCAAATAAACGAAATGTTGTATCGAAGAATCTTTGTGAATGTTTATTGAACAAATCATCAGTTCAGGATAACAACAACAATTTCAATGTTGACACCACAAATGTCATAGTTTAAACTTATGCAAGCAGTTTGAAACTCTCAGTCAATGACAACGGTTCGTTGAGCTTGTGGTACATTTCAGAAGCATATTTTGGTTGGTATTTGGAAAATCACAAATTGCCCAGAAGTTTTAAGTCATCCACGGAAAAGGTACAGTATAGAAATTGTTTTGTGTTCTTTTGCGCAGTAAAAATTATGAATTAGCTTGGATTATATCCTCAGTTATCATTGATGTGTCATTTCGATCTCATAAAATTTCAGTACAAAATTGCCAACATCAAAATGCTGTGGAAAAAAGATTCGAATCGAAAAACAGCCTTGTATGTGGATTACTTTGCCGATCTAGGCACTGATTTGGCCGACCTCGATGCGATACAAAATCAATTGAAGTCGATGAAGAAATCCGATGCCGTATCAGAGAGGCTTCGTGAGGAGGGAAACATTGAATTTGCCGCACGAAATTGGACTAATGCCATTATGGCCTACAATTATGCGTTGTGTTTCGCTGAAAATGGTTCGGAGGCGCTCAGTCATGCGTATGCTAATCGATCGCCTTTTTTTTTCGAATTGGATCAATTTGACAGTTGCTGCACCGATATCAAGTTGGCGTTGGAAGTGTCCGAATGTTCAGACTCGCTTAAACAATCGATTGTACAGCACCAAAAAGATTGTGCCGATTTCATAGAAAATAGCATGTCGATTGAAAGCACCGTTAATGTCCCGACATTGGATTTTGAGCCAAACAAAAGTTTTCCGTGCTTTGCAAACGTGTTGCAACTCGACCGACATACGGAGCTGGGCTATCGAATCACGGCCAAAACCGACATTGACGTTGGAAAACGGATTTTCGTGGAAAAGTCACTCGTTTCAACAGCCATCGATGGCCAATACATGCGCTGCAGCGTTTGTCTTACACGAAGCAACAATCTGATTCCCTGTGGCAACTGTACAAAGGCGATGTTTTGCAACACTGAATGTCAGAATAGTATTCTACATGCGGCTGAATGTGGTATGGCTACTGCGATCGAAAGTGATGGCAAGCTAACGTTTCTAATCCGAACGGTGTTGTACGCTATGAGCCTATTCAATAGCGCCAACGACTTTGTGAACTTTGTCGAAAAATGTATTGACAAACAACAAGATTTTCCGTTGTCGATGACAGATGACCGATCAAAATATGAGCAGTTTTTGAGACTCAAACCAGATCGTATGATTGCATCAGGTGAAAAACGTGACCCACTCATTTACTTTGCATATCAGGCGATCATGGCATCGAAAGCAGCCGATTGGTTTGTGTTGAAGAAGCAACAGCGATTTCTCACTCATTTGATTTGGCAACATGAAGCTATCATATCGCTGGGTTGTGTTCATCAGTACACCGACAAAAATGGCCAAGCCGACAGTTTGCACCTGTTCCCGACATTCAGACAATTTAATCACTTGTGTTCTCCTAATGCAATGTTTCATTTGGCGGATAATTGGTCAACTATCACTACAATGCGGCCAATTAAAAAGGGCGAAGAGGTGACAGTTTCCTATTTTGGCCGTAATTTCCCTGCAGATTCAATGGTCGAGCGACAAGAATACGTTGAACGTCTTCGTGATAACTTTGGCAATAAGTGTCAATGCGACTTATGCGAGAATCGCACATCAACGGCAGGTAAACGAAAGGCTATGAAGGCTGATCCATCCTATCAAAACATCCTACAGACTATTGAGCAAAACTTTGGCGAAGAAACATCTTTGGATATGAAAGAGATGAAACATCATGCAATTGAATTTTTAGAGAAATTTGGACAAGCAAAATGGTGCGCTGAGTTGCATTTGGCAACCACATTTTTCATGGATATCAATTGGGCACAGATCGAATCTGGAGACTTAGAATAAGCCATGGATAGTGGACACATTCCTTATGTGCAACATAACGTATTTTTAGCTTAAGTTCAATCGATTTTTGAAATATTATACTGTGATTTTGAAGAAAGATTTGAATGAACATTGGAATGTCGGAAAAAAATAATGAGGAATCTTTGAGAAATTTTTGTTTTTTTTTAATAAATAAGCATGAAAATTAACCAATTTTTTATCAAACTTCTTTGTTATCAAATAAAATCGAAACTTCGATTAAATTCATGTTGAACTCTTTATTTTTCGGGCGGCCAATCATGGCCGATCGTCATCGGTACCAATTTTGGCCAACAAATACCATTTTGAATTTCCACTCAGCAAACCGCTTCATTAAAATCGGCGCCGATCGCAAGAGGCCGCCTAGAATCTAGGCCCTAGGTAATTGAGAGTCTTAAAATTCACCTTTTTCAAAAAAACTAACAATTTCTTTGCCTCAAGCACTGCGATTCAAATGGCAATCTAGTCAGAAAATTATCAGCATTCACCTTGAACTTTCTCCGCTTATCTTATCAGATTAAAATCGACAAAGAAAAACAAGATTTGAAATAAAAAAACATGCGACTTTTTATCGATATTAAATACATAATGCTTTATTACATAAATAAATTCCAGTTTTCCATCTGACAGCAATAAGAAATTACACGGTATTACCATCAATAAATAAAAATTAAAAGGAAAATTTAATTGTGTGTCTGGGTGTAAATTGGCTTATATGATATTGCAGCCAGTGTTAATTACTCTTTTCATTGTTTTTTTCTTCATTAATTTCATCAGATAAACACTCAATCAAATCGTAACTGGAATTGCATAAAATACTTTAACAAATCAATCGGAAGAATAAGTGGTTGCACATTCATATTTCCATCTATATATATTTTACTTAATAATTTAAGATTCAATTGTAATTTTTTTCATCTGTTTGTCTGATTGTTCACTAATAATTTACAAAAGGAGGTGGACCGAATTACAAATTTTTGGTTTTTTTTTTCCTTTAGAAAAAGTTCATGTTAGATCGAAACATTGCGATTTGTTGAATCGACGCAATTTTGTTGTTGTTTTAGTAAAATAAATAGCGTGCAATTAAATTGCAAACAATTTTCGAGAAAAAAATTAAGAAAAATGCAATCAATTACAGCATTGTTTGTATCCTATTCCAAATAAAAAGAAGAAAGAAAAGAATCGATTATTGAAACTAAATGCAAAGTTTGACATCAACATTACATTCATAATTCATTTAAATGTGTTGTGGTTTTTGTTTGTAGTTTTATCAAAAGAGGTTCCGATAGATATAGAATTGATGGTAAATAAAAGATTTAAATCGATTTTTCGGTTGTTGTTGTTTTTTTTCACTATAAAAAGGAAATGATATAACGCGAAGAAACAGCAGCACGAATGGTCTCTTGATTCGCCACTGCTCTTCATCAGCTTGAAATACCGAGTAATTTTATTGTTTCTCGTCGTAGATTCTTGTTGTGTCTTATTTTGTTTTGTCCCTCAAATTATTATTCTCCACCATTTATTCATTACACTCTTTTTATTTTTGTCTAACGAAAAATTGTGTGATTAAAAGCAAATAGAATGTTTGATAAATTAAGAAGTGTCTACATCATCGGTATTAACTATTTCGAAATCTTTATCAGTCGAACGATGTGAACTTTCCGAGTCGCTGTCTCTTTCGACTTCGCTGGAACTGTGAAGAGGAAAAAAATAGAGGTCACATTAGGTTGGGTAAAATCATTTCAGAAAATAAGTCAAGAGAGAGAGAGAGAGAGAGAAAAACAAAATCGTACTTCTTTGAATTTTGGTCGTTTTGTCGTTCGCTTTGGTCGTCGTCAACGCCGTCATCGTTTGATGATATCAGAGCATCGACGGCCGACGCAACTATGGTGCCGGTTTCATTCTCTTTGATGTTTTCGATTTTTTCTGGTTCCAACAATGTCACATTCGAATCATCTTCAGCATCACTGTCTTTATCTTTTTTGTGCTTCTTCTTTTTGGATTTGTCCGAACCATCACGATATTCATGCTGCGAAAAAATGAAAATGACCCCGGGTTAGAATTCAAATAACCAAACACATACAAATTCAAATTGCCAGCCATGAATGACGTTGAATGTTTTACAACGAATGTTGTTGTACTGAAAATAAAAACTTACTGTATATAGTGGCCAGAATGATGCAAAGAAGCCCACATCTTCGGTGAGATTCGGGAAAATCCAAAGATGATGCTTCGAACCGGTCAGTGCCCATACGATGCAGAATACCATAAAACGAAGAGCGGCCAAACCAAGAATAAATACCAAGAAACCAGCTGCAGCAATACTCAAATAGTAGACACCTTTGCGAATCATTGGCGGCCACAATGGGAACAGACACACAACAATGGCGCCAACAACAACTAATGCGCCGAATAACCAGTAATGCATTGGAATCGGATCATAAATCCAAACGTATGCCTCAGCACCATCGACAAACACTTGATCGGGATGCATATCCAAACGTATCTTTCGCTTTTTCTTCTCGACTGGTTTATCCATTTTCGTTGATTCAACATTGGTGCCCGTTTCCGTATCATCAGCGCTTGCTTTGTCATCTTTTGATTTGTCTGATGTTTGACGCTTCTTTACCGTTTTCTCATCGTCTGATTTATCTTTGTCGGTCGGTTTTTTGCCGCGACGCAATTCAGCATCGGACACTGGGACCTTTTTGGCGCGATGGAAAAACTTATGCGTCAACATTGTGTCGAGAAAATCGATGGCGATCTCACGGGTTGGAAAGAGACATTGCTCTCCTTGTGCGAATTTGGATGCCATTAATGCATCTAATGTCTTGGATGCTGCGAGTGGGACAATGAAAATTTGACGATAAATTGATCGGAATGAAGTGGAACGGGGAAGTTGATGTAAATTCAGAAGAAAGACACTTACCAGTGAAATATTCCACGTGATGGTTCAAGAATTTCGTCTTTTTTGTGGGCACATTCTTCTTGATCCATTTAGCGACCGAATATTCATCTTTGGATGGTTTTTCTACTTCGACCTCAGCTCCACCGGGACCAGTGTATTCCTAGCAACGGACAGAAAAAAAACAACACGACTTTGAATGAAGACGCACTTGAACAATGGCTTGTAAACAAAGAAAATTGGAAAACCACAAAAACGAAACGAAATGGAACGGCTTCGACAAGAATCAAAATAGAAGCCGATGACACATTTGATGAGTGTTTGTATATTTCAAAAATACACTTTTCTCCGCATGCGTACTAGCACCGACCCCACACAAAGTACAAAAATGTAGGCATCGATGTTTTTTCATGGTTTGTTTTGGTTATTTTTCCCTCTCGTACACAAGAGAGCAATAGAGCAGCCGATTTCATCATATATGATTTTGGAATGTTTACCATTAACGAGATGTACGCACAGAAATTTCGATAAGCCAACGGAAAAACGAAAAACAACACAATAAAAATGTGTACGATAATAATCAAACACGAAATGACACGCTTACTTACAACGCATTGCAATTGCAATAGACATTAACTACACATTAAGTCGTTGTAATTCATGTGTGTATACTCGTGGCGAAAACCTGCACGTACACGACGGAGCAACAGTCTGTGGACGGAGCAAAAAAAATGTCGTTGCATTGGTCGAATCTCAGAGAGAGATTTCGTCAAAATGAGAAGAAAAAAAAATATCCAAAATGAACTAAGCAAACCTCATTTCCGAATGGATCACTTTTATCAAAATTTTACGGCATTAGCTAAAGTTCTTGATAAGAATGTGATTGCAATGCAGTAAATGTTTCCTGTGAGCTTGGCCTGAATATTTCTTCTTACGAAAAATCGGAAACAATTGCTCTCTTTCTTTCTCTCATCTAATCCATTGCAATCTGCTCCGCAGAATGTTACAAATTGTTTTTAATAAAATTTCATCTCGTTTCATTGCCGTTGTCAATGGATCGTCATTGTTAAATGTTGTGCTAATAATTGGATCACACGAAAAAGAGTGAGACGAAAGACGAACGTGCAAAAATAAAATAAAATAAAACAAACTTTCACGAATAGAAACCGATTCCAGCGAACAGCGATTTCACTACCAATGCACAGTCTTGTGATCCATTGATATGGAACTGTGCACTGTGTGGTTTTGCTTGCATTTTATTTGGTGACTGTGTGTGCAATTTTTCTGTTTTATCTGACGAAATCCCCCGTACAAATGAATCGCAAAAAGAGAAAAACAAGTATCGAGCCAATAAATAAAATGGCACGTAATTTTGATATATTTTTGGATCCAGATGAGAAATATGAAAATCACGACGCAAATCGTTGTCATTTCGCTTGGAGTTTGATCAGATTTCTTTTTCTCGAATAAAGAGAAAAATACGAAGAGGAATATGAGAGAAAAACAACGTTCAGAATATTCCGCAAATAATAATCATACATATAAGATGGATTGTGACGAAATTGATTAAAACAGATATGAAACAATCTGAGCGAAGAGGAACATGTTTTTAAACAACAAAAAAACAACAGATGTCATCGAAACAATGACTATGTGTGCTCTCTGTAGTTGGTTAAATTGCGAATTAACCCGAAACCCGTGGCAAGAATGTTCTCGCATTTGTTCACAACACTCATCTATTGCATTCAATTAATCGATTTCTCACTACGTATCACTTTTTTTTTATTCCACCTTCTGCAACGTGTTACATTTTGGTGGTGATAAAAATTCGCTTTGTTTTCTTGGCCATCATTTAGAACTTACATCTTTTCGACGTTTCGATCTTTTCTTGTCCGACATTTTTTTGCTAGCAGCAACTCTTGCACTTGTACAACGAACACTATTGCGACGGATGAGGAGAAAAAAATAATAATATAAAAAAGACGAACTCGCACAGCAAATATGCTCACGCTCTGTATGTTGTATGTCTATTAGAAGCAAGAGACTTGAAATTGGTACACAGACATCACATATATTATACGCGCACTTCGTGGCTAGTGACATTCAATTCTGCTATCGCGCACAACAGCACATAGACACATACACTCACATGCAACACACGTATACAGTTGCGTAGCCACGACAATATGCTGGATTTGCTTTGGTGTTCCATTTGACATGGAACTTGAAATGCAACGCCATCTGCGTGTCAACTTTTGCAAAGTTTCTACTTTATTCGAGTATTGAAACAATTTTTTGTTTTTTATTCAAAAAAATCCATGAAAATTCTTGAAAAGTTAATTTAAATCAACAATAAAATCCATATGGTTATAAGTTATAACAAAAAAAAAATTCACATGGATAAAAATCAACGACGCAAATCATTCGAACTTTGTCGGAAATATGCAATCGATGACAGTTCAGGGGACCAGTTCTAGAGTATAGACCACCAGAGATTGACAGCTGATTTCACGTGTGTTTTTATCAGATTCGAATAAACATTTGTTTTGAAGGGCGATCGTCGATATAGGAATTGTAATTGTTTTCATCAAAAGACCGCATCGCATGTAGTGACAATGGTTTTCGTGACTATTTCCAATTTCTGCAAATCGTCAGTCGTAAGGATTTAGATGCTATCAATAAATTTGGTTATCTATTTCACAATTTATTTCAATATTTCTTGCAGAAATTCAATAAAAAATATCAGCTGAAGTTCATTGACTCATTGCGGCTTAACGTTAAAGGTGGTCACGGAGGTATGTTTAATGAGAATTATAATTGAATGTAGTGCATTCCATTTATGCCATGCAATTTATTATTTTTCATCTAGGCAATGGATATCCAAAATATGGAGGCATCGGAGGGCAAGGCGGCTGTATTCAATTTGAAGCAAATGAGAAAGTAACGCTGAATGCACTGGCGAAAAGGTAAACCATACTCATATTCGTCATTCAGAAGGTATTGGGCATTTATCAAGCCAAAATATCTGATGTGATCAATGATTATTAAGCATACTAATCCCTAACTCGACAAATAACATAAATTCAACTCATATTTTATACTTCATCTGGATTACTCCGATTTCAGAAACAAAAAGAGTCCAATTAAAGCTCAATCTGGAGAGGATAGTTCAAAAGCGCGTGTTTTAGGTCGTCGAGGTGACGATCTAAATCTGAAAGTGCCAATTGGAGTAACAGTGTTTGACGAAAAAAATAAGAAAATCGCTGAACTTAATGAGCCGGGCGATACTTGTATCGCAGCCAAAGGTGGCATTGGCGGTTGTTCCGGCAATAATTTCCTAGGCACCCGAGGACAGGAACGAATCGTTACATTGGATCTTAAGTTAATCGCCGATGTTGGAATGGTAATCCAATCTTATTCTTCACTTATTCTTATGCCGCTATTGACAGTAACGAATAAAAACCTTTTGGTCACATTCTAGGTTGGATTTCCAAATGCCGGCAAAAGTACACTTCTTAAAGCACTATCACGAGCAACGCCGAAAATAGCCAATTATCCTTGTAAGCTCTCATTCTATTTTACATACGGAAGAAAAATTATTTATACAGAAAATATTCTATTCCGTATAAATAACACGTTGTATTTGATTCGATCATAATTTGCATGCAAATCGACTCAATGGCACTTTTCATTATGAAAAAATTAAAAAACTCCTGTACAATTTCAGTTACAACACTTCGTCCACAGATTGGCATTATTGAATACAGTGACTTCCGTCAAATAACCGTAGCTGATTTGCCGGGTTTAATTGAGGGAGCCCATGCAAACATCGGAATGGGACACAAATTCCTAAAGCATATCGAAAGAACGAAACTACTCTTAATGGTAGTCGATCTGTTTGGATTCAGGTTCAGCGTTATACATCGGCTACGAACATGTATGCAAAACATTTATGCACTGAACAAAGAGCTCGAACTGTACGATGAAGACCTTTTGGATCGGCCGTGTATATTGCTTTTGAATAAAATCGATAAAGAGGGAGCTCAAAGTGAATACGATCAGATTAAGGAGAAAATTTTGGATTTAAAATGTAAGTAGATAACTCAAGAAATTGGAAAACGAGTAAATCAAGTATTTCGTCTTTATGTAATTAATTGGTCAAACGTGTGATAATCAATTTTTTCTATTTTAATAGCACACACGAGTGATTGTCCCGAAGAGTTGCTGTCTAATCGATTCATACAGTTTGATGATGTGCATGTGATTTCGGCCAAAAATGAAATTGGCATCGACAATGTGAAAGCGTCCATACGGCAAACGCTCGATAAATACGCTGAAGAGAATCTAAACGATGCATCAAACGAATTGAAGCCAAATAGTAGGCAAATTACGGGAGAGAATCACTGAATTAAATTGTTGTTGTAATTGTAGATTAATAAAATTACACTTATGAAAATGTTTATATTCAAACGATGTGTTTATTCGTGAAATTTGACATGAGAAATCGTTGAGCGGCAATTCGGTATTAAATAATCCATACACGATACTTATTTGTCAGTAATTATAATTAGCGAATTGAAATATAGCATTCCTCGGATGCCCATTGATTTCATAATCGTTGTTGTGTTATTCCGTGTTCTCTTCAATGTAATTTGAAGTAGAGCGTCGACTGAATTTTATAAATGTTCAACAAAATTGAAGGGGAAATTCAGTTTGAATAAATATTTGTGTCTCTGTCTCTCACGTATCCTTTAAAAAGTATATCGAACTCTTAGTTCTCTTTCTCTCTTCCTCGCACACAAACACATACTGATATCGAAATAGCTGATTCACACCCGTTGAAAAAAAGCAGCACATCCAGCAACTGGCCGTTGACTATTCGAACGAGAGTGAGAAAAAGGCTAGACAAATTAAATACAAATGCAATTTAAATCATAGCGGCTTGGCACGGCTGACATCGATCGTACAAGTTCTCTGCTAGTTCGCATCCGACCCGCGCCAAGTTAACAGCACGTATCAGGCGCTCGCAATTCAAACCATAATTTCTTAATCGCCATTGTAAAATAACAGATTAAACGATCAAACGTGGTTAATCTTCGTACGAAGATTGGAAATGGAAAAGTGGAAACTTTTTTTCAACTGAAAATCAAAAACCTGTATTTATATTTGTTATGAATTTTCCGTTGATCAAGTGGATTCAATGAACCTAGCTCTGAAAAAAAAACCTTTCTTTAAAGTTATAGTGAACCGTAAAATAGCAACAACAAAAAATCCATAGAAGCGCAAATTAGTTGCGTAAAGAGTTCAAATATACAAATAAATTCGTCGTTCCTGACTAATTGGAATTTCATTCTTTCAACACGAGATTTGAGTCACTGCACGCCTGTTTTTTTCCCTCGATTTAAACGAAAAACTGTGGAAAATGTGAAAAAAAAGGAATTGTTTACATACAGAAAATACAAAAATCAATTTGATGCATGCATACGTATGTTTGTGTATGGTGAGTGAAAGAGCGAGTGATGAATGCGGCTTGTTGTATTCTGCTCACGGCTGTTGTAAAATTCATCTGAATCGACGTTATTTTTGGAATTACATACTCATTTCGTCAGTGTTTGAACGTGATTGTGTGTCGAGAGAACAACTGCATGTTGAACAGCATATTTAAGGCAACGGGAAAAAATAAAATATTAATATCAAAAATCACCGACAAACGCCGAAAAGCACACAAAGTTACGAGAGAGAGAGAGAAAAAAACAGTAATCATTAAATTGTGATTTTTTTTCTCCACTTCAGTGTGTATCTGGCGATTGAATTGATCTATATGTAGTTTGGGAACTGAAGTGGAAGCAGCAGCCGGTTTGTTTGATGGGAGAATGCTGTATGCGTTCAAGATTTGTGTGTTTAATTGAGATAATCGCTTTGAATACAGTGGAATATTGTATTTAGTTTTGTTTCAAGTTTGATGCGATGAGTGAAATGGACACGATTAATGCATGAAAAAAAATCTATTTTTCCGCTACGTGGATCGCGAACGGATAATGAAATTGTATCTTTAAATTTAATGTGGAAGAAATACCCAAGAGAAAAAAATTCATCGAGTAAACAAAAAATCTGTGGTTTTTCGTGAATGTTTCGAGTTAGCAACGATGGTGGTGGTGTTTAAGATGTGTTCGAGCGCTTCGCTCGATGTATCAAACTTGTGCGAAATTGATGTGGTAAACATCGCAGCGTCGACAGTGGCTTGTGTTTTACTGACATTCGGCATAGTTTATGTTCTACTATACCATGAACAAAGGTGTGTGTATATCTTCTATCATATTGTCCATGGGATTTTTTCACTACTCGCCACGTAAGGTGAAAATCGTTGGGTGCTTTATTAAAATTCTTTTTCAAGTTGACATTTCCTGCCAATTTTAATTGACAAATGTTAAGCATTGGACATTTTTAAGTTGTTATTCCATGACTGCGGTTACAGCCTCAGTAATTGACAACAATATTATCATCCATTGGGTTTGTTATGCTTGGCATGAAGAGATATTTCACGGTGCGTTGCATGTGTACAATCGGTTTGGAGACTTGTAATGCGAGAACCATTCTCTCTCGCTTGAACGAGATCGGTCTGCGTTACGCACTATCAACGATGCCTTAATTGCATTGTGTGATGCTGTAAAACTAATTAAATTTCACTAAATGATTGAAACCCGACGCAAAATTGTGTGTTTTGCGCGCATGTGTGCACTTTAATTTCATCGTTGCTTTCTCGGCAGTGTGGATAACCGGAATGGAAATGCAATTGCTTCTATTGGCGACATCAACGGACAAGTGATGGGAAAAAAATAACCTGTTGGCCATTGCTTTTAACATCCAATGACAGATGATGGTTGAAACGATTTTCATAATACTGTCGATAGTGATACAAACCGCACAAATCGTGACACAGTTCATCAAAACGATTAATTTCAGTCTCGTTGCGGTGAGCGTTCAGCATTTGAAATGATATAAATTGCAGCTAATTTGGCATTTGCGTAAGGGTTACCATACCATGCCGGTGAACTCGTTTCACATTTCAGACATAACGCTATTAACATCATATACACTCACGCACGCGATTTATTTAAGCATTATTGATATATGAAAAGCATTTTAATCAGCCAACACATGGAGACTGTTCCCCTTCATTTTTTCTCGGTCTCTCTATCTCCCTCAAAAACGGTATCTCGTATGATGGTAGCATTTACATCGATCAACCGAGATGAAGCTAATCGTTGGTGAACTGTATGCTTATTTGTTTGTAGCATACTCAGGTTTGCTGTCAATAATCTTCAAAGACGTCACTTAAGTGTTTCTCATTAGACAAGCTGTAATTAAATTATTACCTAAGTACACGGTATTCACACATATTTCATTTCGCATTAGAATTATTGTACGTATGTTGTGTCTTTGTCGAATGAATTGGCTGCATTTGAAATTGCAAATGACTTTTGCAGCTCGCATTCAAAGACATACGTCATCTTAAATGTTCTTTTCCTTTTATCGCACACACACACACACACACATCCAAATAGCCGCATTTATATTTTGCCAGCTCGATCGTGTTGGGCGCATTTAGCGTATATTACTGCGTAAAACGTCATTTCCAATGTAAATATTGACTTAAATCACTTATTATGCAAGATGTTGAATCTTTTTCCACATTTATCTACAACTTAAGAGATTGTTCGTATTTTCTTTTTCCATGACTTCGCCGCATGCATCGAGTAGGGTCTAGAAATTCTATAGAAAAGTGAAAATAGACTCATGTTTTAAACTCAATAATTACTGAAGAACTCATCTCACTCCGTTCAATTTCGTTAAAGAACAGATTCAGTTCGAATTTATTCGATTCTGTTTTATTCTGTTCGATTCTCTTCTTTTCAGCTCTGTTCAACATCAGTGTTCAGTCATTGTTTATTGTGTACGATTTGGACGCGCCTTTTAACGATTTTGTTGTGTAATCACATTTGCAGCGCGGTTTCAATTGTCGATTCAAACGACCGTTAAAAATACCGACATCGATAAAATAAAGATTCCACACCCGGTGTAAATAAGCAAAAAACTCATTATCACATGATTACACGGAATTTTTGCTGGTGGAATTGCATTTTTCTCATTGCATTCAATTGTTCGTTGTACCAGAGCCACATTTGGCTGATGCATTTCATTCAAATGGAAATCATTGGATCGAAAACTATCATCGACTGTGTGTGTGTGTGTGTGTATGCGCTACACATGCCATCCACGATTGTAATCAGGAAATTCGATTCCATACAAACAAACCGATTGAATTTAATCCGCGAAATAAAATTTGCGGCGATGAAACGACACACAACACAATGACAATAGCGGGAAAAATGTACAAAACACCGTGTGTCGGTGCTGTGTAGTTATGTGCGCTATGCACAATTTGGCGTGTTTACCGAATTTCGAAATGCACAAAAATATTCGGATGGTAAAATGTGGCTACAATTTTCTGCCCATTCAAAACGATCTGCCACTAAATTATTCGCACCGAATGCTAGATATTCACGCGAAATTAGTTTCCAACTGAAAATATCGCATCACACACACCGCACAATTTAATAGTTTGGAAATTGAATTGAATGAGAGAGTGAGAAAGAGAGAGAGAGAAAAATCCCGGAATCGGTTGTTCGGCTAAACTCAATTAGAAGCATTGCTAAATTGTTGAAGAATTTTTGTGTAGCGCTGAATTTTCCGCATTTTCATTTGCAACCCAACATGTAGGTCGCATGTTGTCAGTGGATTTACAATTCAAAAAATGTCGTATCACCAAAATGTGTGGTCATAATGATCTGTGCGAAGGAGAATGAAGGGTAGTCATTTCAATAGGATTCGATGAACATTCAAATGTGCCAGCGAATCGGAGAAAAAGTCGTGTGTCTGTATTAATATTTTCTTCTTTTGGTCATAGTGCGATCGACCGAATATTACGTTCAACATGGAATCTGGAATGTAATTTGGCCGGTTGATGTGACGCAGATGCATACACACGTACGTGGTTGAAGCATGAAATTATGTCAAATCCGAAATCAAAGTAATAATAAATGGTGGTGTTCGTGGAGCAGATGCCAATTTGTAGAAAGTCAAGAGCAAGAGAGAGAGAGAGAGAGAGAGAGAGTAACGAGTTCAATAGAAAAAGTCTCTCGTCGACAATGTTGCCAATGCGCGTTGAGGATGATATTTTTCAGTGAAGATGTTTTATGGCAAGCATGAGAACATGAGACGTGTTCACATGAGACGAGTAACGAGAATGTGCGCGCGTGACACACACAGAGCTTTCTGAAAAATATATTGGTTGTGACTTCATCGGATGCACCGTTTGCACTCATATATGCACTCATACGGTGTTCGTATTTGGATGCGAACGAATTTGATGAAATCATCACGTATGCCGACTTTAATTTGCAAGCCAAAGCTAGTATTTTCCAATTCATCACAATGGGAAAATTGGCGAACGAACCAAGTGAGGGATTTGAGTGATGCGAGACGAACGCAGGTGTTTACCAGCTTCTGTGAAAAATGATATTACGATCCGTATTGTCTATCGATTTCTCTTGTTTTTTGTTGCTGTTCATTAATCTTGCTATTTTGAATTGTTGCGTCTATTTCGAGAGAAAAATGTAAACGAAACGCATCAGACGCCACAGCCATTACGGCGCAATGGCTCACGTTTATTGGCAATTCAAAATGAATCTAATTGCAATGTTTACATTCATACATACAAACGCATGCACAGATAAAAAGAATTACATTGGTAATCCCAAACTTTTCCGTACCGTTGGCCTGCGTTGTCCGTATGTACTTTTGGTTATTTTTTGTGAATTTTCTTGAAATAAAGGCAGTCAAAATATAATAATGAAAATAAAGTGAAAAATCGGTCACTTTAACTAAAACTTCGACAAATTTGTGTGAGAGGTACCCGTAAACCGATTCTTATTGGCTTTAAACTTTCTGAGGTTTCATTTTTTGGAGAAAAAATAAGATTCTGAAAGTTTCATGTTGATCGCATTTGCAGAAGTTTGGTTTTTGGCCCTCAATTTTTTCCAAGAAAATTTCCACAAAAATTGAGGGCCAAAAATCAAACTTCTGCAAATGTGATCAACGTGAAACTTTCAGAATCTTATTTTTTCTCCAAAAATGAAACCTCAGAAAGTTTGAAGCCAATCAGAATCGATTAACGGGTACCTCCCATACAAAATTGTCCAAAAATCGGTAATTTTAGTGAAAATTTCAAAAAATTTGTATGGGAGGTACCAGTAAATCGATTCCGATTCGTTTCAAACTTTCAGAATCTTATTTTTTTCAAAGCCAATCGGAGTCGATTTACAGGTACCTCCCATACAAAAGTGTCAATTTTTTCAGGTTTTTCTTAGGGCAAGTACCCCAGTACGGAAAAGTAAAAGAGTAAACAAAATTCTCTTTGACTATTTGTTTTCGTGTTTGTTTCGTGCGACTATGCATTTTTGGATGCTTCATTTCCGCATCTGTAATGTTCTACACACATAATGTGGGATAATAAAATGTTTGATGTGTGCCCGTGTGCAAATAAAGTGACTGACAGTCATTCAGTTGTATGTAGCTGCAAATAACTAAAACTGGCTAAGTTGATTGAATTCAAGAATGTTGTATAGAAACAATCACTTTTAGTTATTCTTTCAGCCAGCCGTCTAATTTCGGACTTTTTGGCTACTAGATGACTATAACTGAAGTTGACTACAGTCGAATATTTTGTTCGAGATAATCACTTTTAGTTACTGATAGTCAGCCAAAAAGTCCGAAATTAGACGGCTGGCTAGACAGTCACAAATTTTTCACACGGGTGTGTGTGTGTAATACACACCGTGTATGGCGAAAAGCAAATGAAATAGAAAGAATTACATTCGTAATCCCGAACTATTCCGTACCGTTGTCCGTACTTTTGGTTTGTTTTGTGAATTTTCTTGAAATAAAGGCAGTTTTCAAAAGAAAAATCGGTCATTTTTGCCGGAATTCCGAAAATTTTGTATGAGAAGTACGCGTAAATTGATTCTGATTGGCTTCAAATTTTCAGAATCTTATTTTTCTCCCAAAAAATGGAACTTCAGAAAGTTTGAAACCAATCGGAGTCTTAGAGCAAGTACCCCAGGATTGAATCAAAAATGGCTCATCTTCGAACTTAAACTAAGTTTCACAGATACAAAACTTTTGGCATTTCCAGATTTTGATTATCTCAATTATTTTTTGAGTTATCGTGTTAACAAACACCAACGACAACAACGACGACGACGAGGGCGGCACACGAACGGAAAAGTGTCTCAAAAAGTGGTTTTCTACGCGCTTCATGAGTTTTTATGATGATCTAAGCTAATTTTCCGAAAAAAGTTTTCGGGACCAATTCCTATACACGGTGTGTACGGCAAAGTAAAAGGAACCACCGTCGACGAAACGTGGCTTTAAGCAATACACAAACTATTCAATATCGATTTCCGCTTGCTAGCCACAGACTCAGCCGAAGTAATTCGGGAGTATCCAATTTACCCAGAGATGCATTTTCAGCACTTTATTTTGGCATGCATTTCGTTTGAGTTTAGAAAATCGAGAGCATCGGGTTGTTCGGTTTAATTATTGTGCGATTTCGGTGATAATGCACATAATTACACGGCATAATCGAGCATCGTACATGGGGCTTTTCAGCAAATTGTTTAGTATCCATACCCAGAGTGAAAACATATGCGTTTCAGATTCAATGGTCGTACTTGTGTCGGTTATTTACTATAATTGTCGATTGAGGTCAACGTTAAGCTTTTGATCGGATCGCATTTCGTCCAAAAACTGCTCTAATCTGTGTGTACGACTGTAGTTCTCTCATTTCAATTAAAACAAACAAATATGTACGCAGAAACACACACATGCAACGCGCTCACAAACCCATGCGAAATTCGAAATTTATCGAGTATAATATCCTTGCTTAGCTGAGGGAGGGAATCTGGTTGGTAATTTAAGCGAGCACATTTCCCATTTGCACGATGTACGGTTACCGATTATTCATGCGATTTCGTTTGACTTTGTTTGTTGACTGTTCTTTCAGATGTCGAACACTATTTTATTTGCATAACATTCGTTCGGCAGTGCAACTCATTCTATTGCTCACCAACACATTTGAGTTGGTCGAATCGTATCTGGCTGTCGGAATCACCATAAACGAAACTTTATCAATATCACCGTTACAAATACCGTACGCTTGGTTGTCGTTCGTATCAACAGTGGGAATGATTGCATTTATTCGTATTTGCGAAATTTTTGATAAATCAGGTGAGCGAGATAGAGACGGAATGCAGGAGAGAAAGGAACAGACATAGATGTAACAGATGATTCTCACATATATGCGATTCAGTCTAGTTGGTGACATTTCAAATAATTAACATGCTAAAAATTGATTTTATGTCTTCTTTCAACCCTAATACCATGTGATATGTCAATTTCGGATGCACAGGATTTCTGTATCTGTCGGTGCTGTGCCAAATATTTGTTTTCGTGACAAAAATCTACAAAGTCATTTTGCTCACGGAAACACTGGATTTAAACGACTTACGACCCATTCTGATTCAATGCACCGTCGCTTGTCTGATGCTCTGCGTTCTACTGGATTCATACACCATTTATGTGGAGGTGAGTATGTGTCTTTTTTTCCCCATTTATTATATTATCATCTTGTTACCACCGCAACATGACATTTCTTGATGTGTCTGAGATGGCATTAAATAAATTGCAGTTTTTCAATTTTAAACGAAAATCGGAGAGAAATCTATATGAGAGATAAAATGCACACATGCTTATTAACGCTTAACATTAAGGTCAAAACGTATATATATGAAATGTGAGATTTGATATGCGCCATATATTTTATGTGCGAGTTAGGAAATTTACTCATTGCAAAATTAAAGCCATGTTTATAGCCTATTAAATATGGTACATGATGCAATGAAATGTTCTCACCGTAAAATAGTTTGACTAGGGCGGGCTGTAGTAATCTGAAGAAAAAGAGACATGCTTTTGTTGACACCAATCGAAATGAGGGATCTATTAAAGAGAGTGAATGACGAACGACAAACGACATCAACATGACATCCTGTTGTAAAAAGTATACACTGCATTAATCCTGATCCGATGACACACTTTAAAGCTGTACTCATGCACACACATTAACTATCTTCAGTGTGTCCCTCATACAATATTTACATGCCAATTCCTCGAAATTGATATGTTGCTTGTAAAATTGTGGTGCATGCAGCTCGACATTACTTGCTGTGTACTTGAAACTTTTTTATTGAAACTAAACAAGCTCCGGTTCCGAATAGTTTACTTGTTTTGTGATGCACATCTCGTACGAAATGTCATTCGATTGAACGATATACCATATTAATAAATGCGTAAAACATGCCAAACGATCCATACATGTACATATGTGAATGCTGTGGTTTTGAGTAAGTACCAAGAGTCAGTATTACTTCCGATCGATAAAGTTTATTTGTGTTTATTCGCCAAATCGAATGAGGCGAAGCGTTCACGACAAATCATGGCAAAAGCATAAACGTTAGCCTTTTAACTTTTTTTTTGTTCATCTCGTTTCTATTCGCTTCCCGCTCGATTTCTTTTTTGCCCGAGAGAAACAAAACATCAATTTCAATGGTACAATGTCCGCACGGTTTACCATGAAAAAGTATAACTTGGCATAGCCATCAATGAATTGAATTGCGGAAAATCAACATGAAAGTAAATGGCCCTGTTTGCATCACACATGAATATGAATAATTTTTCGAAAAAAGAAATTATTCATAAAAATTTTATGATCGAAACAAAAAGAAAACCAAACACACACATACAGTCATGGAAATTTAATTAGGACCGGCATTGAAATTTCAGTTTTTTCCCATTAATTTTGTTATTTTACAAAAAAATATTCATGAAATGATGTTTATGAGAATATTTGAAGTTTTTATAAATGGACTAGACTATCAATTTCATTATTTTCGGTAATGGATATCATTTATTGATGAAATTGCCCAAAAACTGCGGGAAAAATAATTAAGACCTTTCATACAAAAAATGACAAAAATTTTCGAAAAATCGGAAAAGTTATCATTTGTTTGACAAAATTCACTCCACCGATGGTCGTAATTAATTGAAATACATTTTTTCCACATTACCATTTAATAGATTTCAAATTTCTTAACAAATTCGAAAAGTTACAGACCAAACTATGATTCTTCCACGATTTTTCATACAAAAAATGCTATAAAGTTTAGTTTGGTCTGTAACTTTTCGAATTTGTTAAGAAATTTGAAATCTAATAAATGGTAATGTGGAAAAAATGTATTTCAATTAAATACGACCATCGGTGGAGTGAATTTTGTCAAACAAATGATAAATTTTCCGATTTTTCGAAAAATTTTGTCATTTTTTGTATGGAAGGTCTTAATTATTTTTCCCGCAGTTTTTGGGCAATTTCATCAATAAATGATATCCATTACCGAAAATAATGAAATTGATAGTCTAGTCCATTTATAAAAACTTCAAATATTCTCATAAACATCATTTCATGAATATTTTTTTGTAAAATAACAGAATTAATGGGAAAAAACTGAAATTTCAATGCCGGTCCTAATTAAATTTCCATGACTGTACATATATGGGGCATCACATACAAAAGTGGTGTTATTGGAAATTCGCCGCATGAACGGAAAGAATTCTGATGTATGATGCACACGATATTTCATGTTATTCGAAGAACAAGGAGAATATGTTCCATTTAAATTGCAAGTTGCAGAAGTATTCGAATGACGAACGATTCCTCGCAAATCGAAACGAATCATCGAAATTGTCGGCTTGAGGTTCACGTTTGAACGCTGCACAGTGCATACGCGATATGTTCCAATTAAATCGAGAGAAAAAATAATCGAAAAAAAAACAGAGACGAATTGAGAATAACGATTCGCTTGAACCATATATTTATTTGGCACAAGACAAAGCTCTAGTTTTCGACTCCGGAAAAATTGGGGAAATGCATGAAAAAAAAGTCAATAGCCAGGCGCACATAAAATATGATGAATTTTTCAAATAATATGAACCGAAACTATGAAATTATTCCACATCCTCGATTTATGTGTTAAATCGACTATCACAAAAATTCACATGTGAAACAAGCACAGAGCGAAAGACTGAGATACTCTTGGGCAAATATGGTGACAAACCGTAGAATGTGAATATAAACCGTTTCACTTCATTGTTTTAAGTTTTTTTTTCGCCACACTTGAAAATGCAAATTTATGGAAGTGAATGGGAAAAAATCGGAATTTTGTGCCAAACTACTACTTGCTCCGGGAACGTAATCGAATTTTACTGCAAATTTTTTAAAACGAAATTTATTCAGGTTGGAATCGATTTTAAGTGTATTTTCGGAACCGTAAAAAATCCAAAGCTCATTGAAATTGTTTTTTATTTTCTTATTCTTCCTTTTTTTCCTCAGTCAAATCTAACAAATGCCGTAAAGTCGACGCTACTCCCCGAGGAGCACATTGGATACAAGTATTCGCAGGCGACGTTTTTGTCAAAAATTACATTTTCCTGGTTGACTCCGCTGATATGGCAGGGATATCGTGATCCACTTGAACTGGACGATTTGGGTACGTTGCACGAGTCAGACACCTGTCGAACGCAGTACGATCGCTTTCATTTCATCTATAAAAGCTTTAAGGTTTGTTTGCGTCATGGGATCTAAGTCATAATGTTAGCAAGCACACGTCAATCAATCTCATTAACGTAGATATATCAAAACCATAATCTAAATGACATTCATAACGTAGTTTTTTTTTGCAAAATTAATAACTGCATCCCAACCATTTGCCTTTGAACTGTTAACGTACACCAGTTATTTCGACTAAATACGAATTTATTTTCAGCAGCTTATGTTGCGAGAGTATATCAAATATAAATTAAATTCATGCTAACGAATGGAAATCATATCGCATGATGCAGTGTCACATCGGTAGCATCGATTATTGCAGTACGCGGTTAACGGAATTTCAAACTATCGTTAATTATACAGTTTGGTTGTACATGGTGTTTTTCATAGCATATTGCATATCATCAACTCAGGGATGGGAAACGTTTTTAATTCTCCTAAATATGTGACAGTAATATACCACAATGACCATCAAATGATTCATTTACAAAAATATCCAATTTAAATTGCCATTGACCTATAACCGCTCATAATTTTAACGAGAAAAAAGTCCGATTCGTCTTCGTTGCACTTTTCATGTAACATAAAATAGTGCTCAATTTGGGTTCTGCATTCAAATGGATTTATTTCCAGCGCACAATAACACATCAATAGATTTGGTGTCATTGTACGAGTGATGATAATAAAATCCAGTTTCATCATTTGACAGCGTTATAATGCTGAGTTCGGAAAGTTTATCAATTTATATGAAACACGCATATAAATGTGTGAATTATATCGCTTCAATGAAATTCACACATTTCCATTCGAACAGTGCGTTTCCATGTTTTTATTCATTTTTCCCCGATTTCGATCAGAAAATAGTTTGTGTGATATTTTATAGTGGAATCGAGTTCATAGCAATGAGTGCTGGTGTGCCACTCCATTGTTCCATGTAATTGAAAATGTATGGAATTTTAAGCGTTTAAATCATATGCGTTGGATTTTTGTGTTCTTTTTTTGCACCTGCACATTTGTTCCCACGAGTAAATGCATAAAAACACGTTGTGATAAGGTATTTTTACTTTATCGTTCTATAACCATGCAGTTTAATGGAAAGATTAAAGTCCAAAAGTACTCATCTCGCCATTCAGAATAAATTGTTTGAAGTAATTTCGTTTATGGAATATTTGATGGTTGAATGCGACGAAAAATGGCCAAATACCAACTGAAATGCATGAATAATTGAAGCGAATCCATTAATATAATTGTTTGCATTTAATTCATAACTCTCTATAAATGTCGTTCGGCGCATTTGTTTCGATATATCACATGCAGTGTGCATAACGTTCGGTGTTCTATCTGATGATGTAAGTGTATGTTTTTTTGTGTCTGTGGATGTATGCGAACACAGGGTGCACACAGCACACTGTGAAATATATTCAAAAATGCGCTCACCCAGAACGGAAAAAACGAAACTCACACATAACAACTATATGTTTCGTCACTTGACATTTATTATATTGATTGCAATTTTTCAGTCGAAGACCCCATCTCTCTGGCTTTGCTATATGAAAGCATATTGGAAATTGTTCGTGTATGGTGGACTATTAAAATTGTTGGCTGATGTTGCTGGGCTCGTAGGCCCAGTTTCAATAACACGAATCGTTGAATACATTCAGCTAAATTTGAGTGCATCGTCATTGTTGACGACCGCCGCTGCCACTGGTGTTGTTGCTGCTGCTGCTGCAACATCAACCGCTCAAAATGGAAAATTATCTAACGCAATCAATGGTACGGATGCTACGGCACCAATTACGCATTCCGATATGACGAGTGTGGTGAACGATGCGATAAAAACCGGGTCAAATAGTAATTACTATGTGCCATTATCAGCTGCACAATATCGAATGTCAAGCGAACCGGGGCCGATGATGTCAGCGCTGTTGATAAATGAAAATACGGAAATTTACTATCCAACTTGGCCGGAATTTGTGGAAAATGGCTGGATAATGGCTTTATTGGTGTTGCTTGCCACATTGGCACAGGGCAGTTTTTCACAAGCCTCTACACACATTGTCAACATGATTGGAATACGGCTACGCACTTCATTGCAGTGCCTGGTCTATCGCAAGACATTGTTGATTAGTTCGAGTTGCTTTACATCGCCGAATTCATTTGATGACAGCAGCGCACACTCAAATGACAATGAAAATAGCAATGGGTCCATTTCAACAGATGCACACGAAACATACTATGCGAACAATGAAACGGACGACAACAATGGTGCGACCATTACTGAGCAAGGCATAAATACGACGACGATGGCGTCAGCGACGATTATGGCGCATTCAACGACGATAACGGACGACAAAATAAAGCCAGATTTAAATGATACAGTCAACAAATCGGCCCAGCAGCAGCAGCAGCAGCAGCAACAGCAGTTGCATGACCAAACGGTCATTGATACGGGAACAATAACCAACTTAATGTCTGAAGACGCACTCAATATAATGTTTTTATTTTATATTGCCCACTATGTGTGGGCGATCCCTCTGAAGGTTTGTATTCAATTGATGTATATGCTTCTATTTTGTGGACGAGTGCGTGTTTATGTGTTATTTGTGCACTGAGAGTTTATCCAACGGTTTTTTATTTGTTTGTTTGCGCATTTCCTTTGATATATTTCGGAACCTTTTGATCGAAAAAGCCAAACACACAAACTTCTTTTGTGAAATGATATGTGATTACATTGGCCTCGGCAAAAAGCTAACCATCAAAGTGGCCATTAATTTAAGTGGTATCTATTTTGTGTTCTTATTGTGTTTGCCGGGACACAAAAAGCTTAGCCAGTGCTAAGCTTCGGTTTATGATTTCAATGCACCTGGTCAGAAGATAAAAGCAGTTAGCAAGTGCAAATGAATCTGCTCACAAAACCACCCAAAATCCGATGAAAATCAAAACTCAGTGCCAAACAAAACACACATACACCCACCCACCCATGCCAATTCCTCTATCCCGTAGCTTGTTCGTCCCCGTCGTCCGAAAGCACATAATGGAATAATATTAATTTCACTTAATTATTATTGCAGATTGCTTTCTGTATGTATCTATTGTATCAGATGCTTGGGATCAGCGCCATCATCGGTTCAACTGTGTGCATTGCGACGATGATTCCATTACAGTTTTTCATTGGCAAAAAGATGTCGAACAATGCAAAACTAACGGCGGTAAGTTCTATTGCGTTCAAGTGCTCACTTTTCCCGAACATGTAGATGCATTCTAATGGCATATTTTACTTAGGTTTAATTCGGTTATTGCATTAGTTCGGCAGCGAATTCATCACATTGCCAAAATAAGGAGAAAAAGAGAAAAAAAGGGATGAGAATAGCATAACAGCAGTGAGCACTGATTTCGATGTGCATATTGCTCGCTGTTTGGAGTGACTTATCTCATTATTTTTTACCATTATCATAATGTTTTTCACTCACATAGAATATAGATATGGGAAAACAGAGAGAGAGAGAGAGCGAGATATTTCATGACATGAACTGTGTGGCACACAGAGAGCGCATCGAAGCAGCTTATCTTTCGAGTTGTACATATCCCATTTTTATTTTGCACTCACTCGGAGTTTTTCTTCAGAATTTTCCATTTTTGCTGTCAGAATTTGTGCTCGTGCACTTTTAACCCATTTCTTTTTTTTTATTTCGGTGAAATTTGATGCTTTTGTAATTGAGTTCATGAAAAGTTCGAGAGCATGTGCATCACATTTTATCCGTTATCTCGACTCATTGAGCTGTACACAGGGAGCGTGTTCAGAGATTATTATATGTTTCGCGATGCCAAAGTGACAATTTGAGCTGATGCAACAACACATGCAATGAGTCACGATGTTTTTTTCTGTCTTTTTTTGGCAACAATTCCGCGTATTTTAAATTTAGAAAACAGAAATAATGTGGAGGTTTGAAAATCATACACATCGAACGTTAGTGCTGATTCGAATGAATTTCGATGGCGACGCGCTTAATTGATTATAAATGCATGATAATGGAAAATTTGGCACGATTTTTGTGGTATTTTCGATCATGTTATAAATTATTTACGATCAAATATGGAACCGCACAATGTTCATTAATTTATTAATGGTTTATTTTATGAATGCAATAATTCAACCGGTTTAACAAAAAAAAAACTTTTTATATTTTCGTTCTACCGCATTTGTTAGTCAAATACTGATGAACGTTTAAGGCGGATTAGTGAGCTGTTGATGGGCATTAAAATCATTAAGTTGAATGCATGGGAAACGGTATTCACGGAGAAAATTTCGAAAAGTCGAGAAAATGAATTGAAATGCTTGGACAAGGACTCAATTTATTGGACATTAATGAGTAAGTGTGTTTGCGATTTGATCGATAGTCCTCTCTCTCTCTCTCTCTCTCTCCCTCTCACTATATTCAGTTCAATGCAAAATTCTCTCAATCAACTCATAATATTTTACAGCTTTTCTCACACATCTGTCGTCCATAATCATAACGTTTGTAACATTTGCCGTTTTCTTATCGATGGAAAGTAACGATGTATTGGACAAATTTACAACGGGCCGAGTATTCGCTGCGCTCGCACTATTCAATCAACTGACTGTGCCGTTGTTCATTTTTCCCATAACAATACCGATGATTATATCAGCAATTGTTAGTACACGTCGATTGGAAGGGTTTCTGCGTCAGCCCGAAGTACAAAAGGAGTTTGAAGGCATTAGAAATATGGCGCATGTGATGAGTAGAAGCGATGCTTCACTCGATGTATTCGAAATTGACGAAAATGATGGGCAAACTATTGATGATGGACAGCAGCAGCAGCAGCAACTGCACACGAATGACGATGAACAGAATAATGACAGTCAAGGCTCAACAACAAATGAAGCGCTTTTGTTATCAAAGAAACCTCTTTCGAATAAAAGCAATTTTAACACAAACAACACTACCTCCACCACCACAAACAATGACTACCAATTCAATAATGACTTCTATTTACAAGATATTTATGAAAATCAAGGCGAGCAACAGGCAACGATAAAATCAATGCAACGCAACTTCAATGGGCGACGTTCATTCAATGCTAGTGTTAAACTGAAGAAAAACAATAAAATCAGTGAGAGCATGCGAATGGATCGGAATCGCCCACGTCAAAAGTCATTGACAACAATTGAAATTCAAATGGAAATTCCCAATGAATTGGTTATCAGTGTGCGTAATGCAGTCTTTTCTTGGCGACGCCACAACACCACCGACCCCGAATCACCATTGCGAATTGATCGACTCGATATACCAAGAGGTTAGTCCTAAATCATTATTCCATAACATTGTTATCGATTGTGTGTACGTACATATAAATTGTGTGCGAATTCAAACCGTTTGAACAATAAATCAATGGTCCTTTCGATTTAATCAAAAATAACCAACCAATCGCAAATGACACAATCGAAATCTCATAGATGGATTTCCTCCTCTTCATCCCGATGCCCTCAACAAACCAGCAATTTCTCGAAATCTCGAAATTCAACCATTACCCAGTAAATATGTCTCATGACAATTTATCAAAATGTTGTAGGTGCTCAGCATGCTGGTTGAGAGTATTCCAATAAATTCTCAATTTCATCATCAAACTGAAATGAAATCGGAATTGCTCATGTAATTTCGAAAACGCAATTAAAAACAGTCAAATGTGAAAATGTGATTAGTCAAAATTGCAATGTACTCCACCATTCATTGGGTGTGCCGGCCCGGAGCACAGTTTGATTGCTCTCTCTCTCTCTCTCTCTCTGTCTATGAAATTCGATTGTCGAAAGCATAAATTTACATTGATTCCCTTGTGTCGTGTGCGTGTGTTCATAGGCAAACTGACGGTGATTGTTGGAAAGAGTGGCAGTGGCAAAACATCATTGCTTGCAGCAATTTTGAAGGAAATGCGCCTGGTATCCGGTGAGCTTATTTGGAATAAGTAAGTTGAATGTGCTTAAAATATATCTATGTTGATATTGTAAACTGTTGATTGAAACCAATACGATGAAAATCGATTGGATGGCCCTACGAAATGAATGAACAGAAACATGACATTTTAACCCGATGTTCTATTAATATTCATTGAATGGTTTATTATCGCTTATTTTAACTTTAAAATCCAATATAATACAATTGACGAGAACACAACAGCCGAGAAATTGAGACATTCTCAGAATCGATCTAATAATTTCCAGATATGCTACAATTGCTTATGTGCAACAGACACCGTGGCTTATGAAGACAACGATACGAGAGAACATTCTGTTTGGTGAAGCGTATCGACCGCGCCGCTACGAAAAAGTCCTTGTGTCATGTGCTTTAAAGGAGGATCTGCGTTGCTTGCCGGACGGAGATTTGACCGAAATAGGAACAAATAGCATCAATTTATCGGGTGGGCAAAAATCGCGCATTGCTATCGCTCGTGCACTTTATTCGTCGGCCAACGTTGTCATCATGGTAAAAGATGATATTCCAACAAAATCCCATTGAATAGTAATTGGAAGCTGTACGTTTTTATCTTTCTTTTTTTCTCTCTGTCTTTGATTGACTTTCCGCTTGTCTGATAACATTTTCGTATCGATATGATGTTGACGGGGCGAATCACAACCACAAAAAAAAACAACCACGACCGAAAAAAAATGTAATTTACTTGGAAAATAAAACATCGTCTTAAAGGATGATCCGCTCTCATCATTGGATAATGAAGTATCAAAATGGATATTCGATAACAGCATAAAGAATATGCTTTTAAAGCATCAACGCACCGTTATCCTGGTTACACAAAAAACGAATCTAGTTCACCATAGTGATTATGTAAATATTTTATTAGTAAACGATTTCACAAGCAGCACTTTCTCTCTATCCATCTCTCGCTCTGCATCTGTCTCCATTTAAATGGCCGCACACATACATACAAAGGCGGCCAATGTGGCTTTGCCTGTGAAGCAGAACATTGATTTCTTTACTTTTTTTCTTTTTCTTATTCTATTTTTCTTTCTTCTTCTCCATCCTATGAATACTCTTTCCAATTTCATATGGACGAATTTTTCCTATTTATGGCGGCTTCTTGGAAATAAACGCAATTGATTCGAATTCAACACATTTTGAATAATCTTGACAACAACTACAACAAAAATCGGTAACAATAACTGTGCTAACGATAACGATTTCCATATACATCGTCGTTCGATTTACATGCACACACACACACATACACACACACACACACACACATCGCAACATCAACAAATCCAGATTATTTCAATGGAAAATAACAGCATCCGAGCGAAAGGAACTTATCGAGTCATTGAAAGTAAGGATTACGAACTGATTCAAGAGTGGAACTCGATAATAGCTAAGGAAAATGCAAAAGATGAAAACGTTTGGTGAGAGTCATTTTCCTTCCTTTTTATGGTTTATTTGTAAAAAAAAACGGGAAAAAAAGAAGCAGGGCATCTTTGTGTGGGTTCAATACGATTGTGTTGGAATAGCCTTTGCCATTCTTTTGAATTAATTATAAATGATACGCTTTCTTTATGTCGCTAAAAACAGTACGAGGACGGCACGTGAACGCTGGAAACTCTTCAAGAATATCTCGAAAATAGGACTGCAACGGCAAACAACCAACGAAGAGAATGAGGTGTGCACGAATCCTTTTCATTTCAAATTGAATGGAATTTGATATGACAATTAAAAGTACAAACTTCCCTTTCCACACACGTACACAGATCCAAACTACTCCGTTTAGTGGTTGCAAGCGTAAACCCAGTATATATGGATCGAGTGTATATGGACCATTTCCAATGGATGAATGTAACATCGACGAGATTGAAATACAGCGTCGTCCCTCCAAACGGCACCCAAATCAATCACTTTTCGCTCGAATGTCACTGAAAAAATCACCACTACGAACCAATTCGTTGAATGTACGCGAACGTAAACCGGATCGAATGCCCGTAACTCGGAACATTTCATCACCTTCAACCATGCAGCATCCCATCAGCGGCTGCAGCAGCAGCAACAACCATCGGTATGCAAATCACTCGATTTTTTAGCATCATTCCCGATGATTTTTCAAAAATAATTGACTTCAAATGAATTTCTCGTGTGCTTTTTCTTCCTTCTTGACACCCTCATCAATTGTTTTGTGCTACCATTCCGTACACCAGACCATCAACCATTGAAACGATGCGTAATTTTGACTTTCGCCAGTTCCTAAGTCGAATGTCATTCAAACGGATGAGTCGCAAGAATTCACGTCTTGCGAAACCATTAAGTGCAACGAATTCCGTGCGGTAAGCATATTTTTTGAATTGTCACATTTGTGCAGAAGGAAATGAATTCAATTTCATAATGTAGACTCTACACTGTAGAGTAATATATATATTCAAACGTCCAACGAATTGACGTTTGCATTTTCTGCAAAATATTACCCGCTAGTGAAGTTGTGTCTCAAGTTGACAACGGGTGGAGTGAAAGTGAATATGCGCGATGTCAGCGCATTGTTTGCAATTGTTCATTAGCCCAAAATCATATTATTCCTGTTTGCGTTCTCCCGTTGAAATGTGGAAAAAAGAAGGAAGTTCCGTCCAGTTGCTTCATTTCAACCGATGCTCTTGTATTTGAGCTTCATTTGAATTACAGCAGTGCGGCTTTTGAATGCACAATGCATGGAATACCTATTACAAAATTAAGCGCATGCAAACACCGCAAAAAATTTGCATACTCTCTTACCTACATTTCTCTGACGAATGCTCTCTTTTAATGTGCTCATTTTTTGTTCTCGTTTTCTTTTGGCGAATACAGGAACCCAACATTGGAGAATAGCAGACCTGTTAAACGGATTATGTCAACAATATCTAAGCACAGCGAAGAAGCGGAAGATGATGAAATATGTTCAGGTAATTTATGAATAATTAACGAGCATTCCGAATGAATTCCATGGAAAAACAGATTTAAATGCGCCTTTTCCCGGTGAGTAGTATCTCCTCTCGCTCTCGTTTTTTCGGTGTTTTCGCACGATGATCACATTGTTATCCCTGGTGTAAGTTTTTCCTTGCCGAAATAATGCCATTATTCGGTTTGGAAAACTGTGTTTTTTAAGCTTTTGCTTCGATAAGCGAGCGTGGGTGCGGAGAAAGTATTCGCCACTTGTTTTGATATCGCATTGAAAGAGCTTAACGGTTGAAATGTTCTCACCCGGAATGAATACGTAGTTTCCCGAACGATACGAATGTCGCAAATGGATTCCATTTTCATGAGTACACATACCACACACTTGGATTTATGTAAATCGGGCGCATGTTTTTTTGCCGGCTGACATTCAGCAAAGCGCATAAAATATTGGAGCAATGAAATTTAAACAAAAGAGATTTCAACGTTGAAAAAAAAAACTGTTTACGGTCGAATTTGTTGTTGTTGTCGCTTGGGTTATTTTTTCGCATCGTCGTTCAATACTCGATTTGAAAGTGATGCCCGAGAACGGCGCGCGCGGTGTGTCCATCTCTTATGAAAACCGGTGCTACGCAAATATGTTTCGCGTTTTACAGTGGTTTTCATTTGGTTCGGTTTGGTTTGGTTTCGGGTTTCGGTTCGTTGTGTGAACATACAGCAAATGCGGCAGGCCAACGCGCCAACAATGAACGATTTGCATTTATGGTCATCGCCAAACATACAAGGAATACACACACCATGCCATTTTATTATCAAACAATGGATTTTCGGTGGGGAAAATTTATTGTTTTTGTACATTACAGATTACAATGAGGATCGGTTAATATACGATGAAGAGCGGAAATATGGCAAAATTCCAGCGAAAATTTATTTATTGTATTTAAAGTCTTGCGGTTTATGGACGATTGGCGTTTTTTGTTTAAGCGCACTGGCATGGCAAGCAACGAAAATTTATCTGGATGTTTGGCTAAGGGATTGGACCGACATTGAGCAGACAAATCGCTTCACTGATGTACGTACACAGACATAGGCACAGGCACAGACACAGACACATTCACACACAAAAAAAATATACACAATCTTCTATACATACTCACCCATGTCGTTTCATTCGGTTTTGGGATTGGAAAAGCATGAAAACCATTCGACAAAAATATTTGTTTGTTTAATTTCCCCGAATTTCCCTCTTTCAGGAAATCGATTTACTCATTTTATGTGCTTGTTTGCCAACCAACACTGTTTTTTCTATAAATATCAACCAATCAGTTTTCTGGTTTGCAAGCTTTCGATTGAACTAATATTTTGATTGTAACTGGCTTGTCTATCGGAATCGATAAATTAACTTGTTTCTGTTATAATGATTTTCACTTTTTCACTGTGTATTTGTGTGTTGTGTGTGCCTTTTTCCCACACCCCATCTCTCTCTTTTTATCTCTATCTCTCTCTCTCTCTCTCTTTCTTTCACAGATTTCATACTATTTCGGCATTTACGGTCTGCTATCGGTAATATGCGTAGGATTTTCGATGATCTCAGTGCCATTCGGACAATATGCTGGCAGCAAAGCGCGACGTTCACTTCACGAACAATTATTGCAGTCAATTGTCCAAAAATCAATATATTTTTTCCAAACAACGCCATTCGGCCGAATGATGAATCGTTTCAGTTCAGACATGGCTGTTATTGATAAAGTAAATTTATTACAAAATGCCGCAGTTAGGCTCCATTTTTTATTGTGCTGCTTCTCTCAATTGCCTCCCGTATTGACGTATCCTGTTCTTCTCGTTCTTTTTTGTCTCCACTTTTTTCGCATGCATTTTGCTAGAAAATCGCCGCAACAAGTCAACGACTTCTTCAATTCGTACTGTTGTGTCTGTGCTCCATTTTACTGAATGCCGTCGTCACGCCATGGTTTATTGTGTTGACGTTACCCATTGTTGGTGCCTATTATATAGTGCAGAAATTCTATCGTTACTCATCGAGGTAATCTCTTTTTGATCACTTTCATTTCATCAGCACATAGTATTTAAGATTTCTTTAATTTAAATTCCATCATCGTTCATTGTTTTACTGGCACAATTTCAACGCAAGCAACGGAAAATGATTTTCGTAATCGTTTATTTTGCATTTTACGATTCAATTAATTTTCCAATATTTTCATTGAATTTAAAATCCATTGATTTTATTATTAAATATTCATTCGGGGAAATTCAGTGAAGAGGAAAAAGGTTTTATTAAATACGTTGTTGTCAGGATGATGATGATTAGAGCCTCTAAAAATTGTTAAACGAAAACGCTGAAAATTGTTGTTAAATTGTTAAGAAAAAAAGCCTGAAAATTGTTAAATTTATGGAAATAATACGCAAAATTGTTAAATTAGATTGACAATATTTATTCGAAAAAAGCATAAAAAATCAATCATCGTTGGCATCATCAATGAAATTGTTAAACTGAACACCGTTCAACTTGGCGATATTTGATTCAGTCAAAGAACGACGGCTGTCGGACAAAATATATTCACATTTGATTTTCTGGTCAGCTGGCTGATTCTCGAAAAAATTCACGTCTAGATTTTTGTCCGAAACTCTTTCTAGCTTCTCCAAATATTCGCCGCTCAATTTACTTTTTACCGATGTCAAAATTGCCAATTGTTGCGGTACTGTCAATCCATGCTTTTCCAATTGAGTTATGGCTTCGGCCAAGAATTTGTATTTGTGCACTTCATATAGCGATGTATCGATGCTTCGTTTCGCTACTGCCTTCTTTAATTTCGTCACTGCTTTCGATTTCTTGCTGCTTAAAGAACTTGCAAATGTTTTGATGGCAGAATTTTTTTCGGCATAGTAGAATACAGCATTTAACCAGCTGTTCCAGCGAATTTCGAAAACATCCGGAGGCAAGGGCAACTTGTATATTTCACGAAAAATCTGACGACGATGATTTGATTTCACAAGTGTAGCTTTCATGCTGGCAATCAGTTTGTTTACGTCGTCATAGTTGTCCTTTATGAATTCACACACTCTGTTCAATCTATGTATCAAGCAAGTAACGTGCTTCAAATTGGGAGACAATGGTTTCAAATCTCTGCCAGCTTTCAACATATACGGTGCTTGATCTGATATTAAAAACCAAACTTTTTCGTATGGTATATCAACCCTGTAAAGTGTCACGCACGATTAATTGATTCACGGCTTGTTGCGCTGTGCTGTTATTTGTGTGATCTAAAAAAAATCGTATTGAGCAGCACCGGCTCTGAAAAAGTTCCGTCGATTTTGCCGACCAACACATTCAATACACAACGTTTGCATTTGTCTGTAGTTTCATCGACAATGAAATAAATTGGATGTACGCTTTGATTTTTTGTAGAGTGCTTTGATAAATTAAATCAAGTTTACTGTAGAGTGTGCGGACGCTCGGCAGAACTTCTTTGTACTCATCCAAAAAAAACTTTCTGATGTTCGGGTGTCGCAATTCCCATATCGGGATTCCAGCCTCGAGAAATGCTTTCGTAAGTTTCACGGCAAAAGTATCCATTTTCGCATTGCTCGCACTTGCACCTGCAATGGCACTTGAAATTGATGGTTGCAAAACATTCGAAGCACTCGATTTTTTGTGTTTATCCGAACGTACATGTGACTGGAATTGCGTACTTAAATGAACCGCATCCACTTTGAATTTTGTTTGGCATGATTTGCAAAAGATTGTTACTTCACTTTCTTTTGACTGCACCTCGAATAAATTTTTATTGCCAATTAATTGTTTTGCGCGAGCAATGAGTCGCTCTGTATCTTTCCCCATGATTGATCTGACTGAAATTCACATTGCAACTGAACTTGAATTCAAATGTTCAATTGAGTGACGGCGATGGAAACGATTTTTTTTTTCAATTTTTGCTTAGTTTGCAATCGAAATAATATGTGCCGAAAATGCAATCAACTTTGTGAGTCATGCTGAAAACGCAAAAGTGGTTTTGTATACAAAAATGATATAAACGATATCTTTTGTAAACAAAGACTGTCTATTCTGACATCTCTTCATTTTACAGATATTACTATGCTGGCGCTGTAAATTTGAAACACAAAAATCGTGCACAAAATATGATTTACTTTACTCAGAACTCAAATGTGATTTTGTTTAGTCTAGAATAAAAACAACTTACGGCCGAGGAAATACAACAAACTGTTATGCTGTTATTATTCTAGACCGTTCCAATGAATTTTTAATCATTTGCTGTGTTTGATATTTACAGTTTGAGAAAGTAAAAAAAATGGAAAAAGTCTTTGAAACACCGAAAATTGTTAAATCTATTGGGAAAGACTGCAAAATCGGCTATAAATTGTTGTTTTTTCGAAAATGGGCAAAAAATTGTTAAAATTGTTGATGGCTCTAATGATGATGATGGTAATGATAAAGTAAGTGCACTTACTTGCAAATGCCTTCGACCAACGTTTAGATTGTTTGATAATCGGTCGAGGATATTTTACGGCTTTGGGCCGAGAATATTTTACTATCAATTTTCGTTTAAATTTTTCGTTTTTCATACTTTTTTTTTGTTATTTATGTTTGGAAAACTATAGAGAGCTACAGCGTCTAGAAAGTATTACCAATTCACCGATTTTAACGCATTTCGCTGAAACTATCCAAGGTGTTGCAACAATTAGAGCCTACAATCAAGAGTCCAGATTCATGGAAATTCTTTTGAAACGAATGGAAGCGAACAACATCGCTGTTATTATGCAGAACACAAGCAACCGTTGGCTCGGTATCGCACTGGTAAGTACGAAATGGTTTTACTGGGAAACTTACCCAATATTTAAAAGTACAACACTCAGCTGTGCATACTTCATGAGTACTTTCAATTGTTGTTTCAGTTATTCGAAATACTCTTTATGAATAATAATTATTATTAGTTTTACTAATCCAAGCACACTTTATTCGAATAAACAACAATTTCCACCATCGGTTTTAATTCAATAGCATATACTTTGCAGAACTATTCATGTAGTCTATATATAGGCTTCAGAATAGCGAGTGTATTTTCGCTGTTGAGCAGGTCTGAGCTGAGCTGAATTTGCTGACTCAGACACTTGAAGCGTCAGATCCAAGTTGTGTGTCAATTATACTAAGATGGATCTCTGCTAGCAATGACAATTTCGCACCGTGAACATGTTCAAATAACGCTTCAGGTGAGTTCAGCAAATTTCAAAAGTAATACAACGCTGCTGAAAATGTAATACAACCTTTTAGTGAATTGCCCCTAGGCAAATTCAGCTCAGCAGCGAAAATACACTATCTAGTTCAAAAAGCAGCACTAAATAATTATTGGTTGCAACATATTTGATTAATAACCAATGGATCTTTAGTTGGATTTAGATATTACAAAGTTGAATAACGTGAATACATGCGCACAAGAAAAGTGCAGTTGAAGTAAAACAATCAACAAACAAACAAATACAATATATGATACGCCTCTTAACAATAATGGGCCCAGAGATTAAATTCCTGTTGAATTAATGGGATTTCATCGACAGCAACATCGACGGACAAATGTTAAGATTGTTTGAATGAGTTGCAACGGTATTTTCTTCAGTATGCGATCATATTTGGGTGGTATATTTTCGAATGGAAAATATTCGAAGAACCGCAGAATTTTTTTCGTTCTCTCACAAATCACCATTTTGATTGGTCGAATTTTAGCGGTAGAATAGAAAATTGAAAAAAAAATTAATTGAAGAAGTTAAAAGAATGTTGGATTATTGCCTGAATTGACTACACAGTACGCCATATAAAACACAACTGACGCCAGATAACTCCATATTTGATTCAAATATATCAGTCTTCAACTAGAACAGTGAGGGATGATAGTTGTCGAATGAAAAAAATTTCTTATGCTACTTATCTGCATTCCATTGAAGCGGATATAGTTCAGTAATAATACACATCTAGGTATGAATTTAGAATAAATGGATATTAGCTAATGATAAATGAAAATAGAAAGTTCCTGAGAAAATATGTAAAACGTCAAAATCTCTTGAAGGTTTGTTGAATTTTATCATTATCAAATGGCGTTAGCTAAATACGTCATAAGTAAATGATAGGATGTAAAAATGATTGAATGGAGCAATTTAACACAATAGGAAAATAATTATGAGTTGAGAAACGTGATCGATAACATTTCCAATAGCAAACGTGGGTGATAACATTTCCAATAGAAAATATGAAAATTGTCCAGTAAAAGGAAATTATTGAACAGAAAAACTCATGACCTTTTATTTTCGTTTTGAATTGCCCTATCTATTTTTAAACAGGATTACTTGGGCGGTGTTATTGTATTCGTGTCAATAGTGACGGCATTGTTAACATCTCAAATGTACCCAGAGGCAGCATCGCCATCGTTGGTGGCATTGGCTATAAACTACACACTTCTCGTGCCCATCTATCTGAACTGGGTGGTTAAATTACTGGCAGACTTGGAAATGTATATTGGCGCAGTGGAGCGTATTTCCCTCTATATCAATCCAAATGACAAGGGCACTAGTGACAATGACACTGACGAAAGCCCTTGCGAACTGATGGCCATTAAGCCAAAGGAAAAATGTGAGTATATTGACATCGTACGCTAGCACAATATTATTGGAATTGCGTCGTCGTCGAAACCCTATACATACACATACAATTGCTGGCCCGGAATGACTCAATAAAAAACATTCGTTGATCGTATGCAATAAATAAACGCAAATCTCGAATAAAACATTTTTTTCTATTCCTAAATAAATCATTTATTGCGATTAGAATATAAAGCGTCAACAACTGTTAACAATTATAATCAGCATTCGATTAAATGCAAAAAAAAAATCATGCGATGAAATTTATGGTTTTCCTCTTTTCTCATTTTGACTTCGAATTTTTGATTGATTGACATGGCAGATAAAGCAGTTCCGATCAGTTGGCCACATCGTGGTGACATCACATTTGAAAATGTGTCGTTACGCTATGAAAATCAGCCCGAAAACATTGTCACAAATTTGAATTTGGTTATACCGGCTGGACAGCGGTTGGGCATTTGCGGACGAAGCGGAAGTGGTAAATCAACGCTTGCAATGGCATTGTTTCGTGTCGTTGACATCGTTTCGGGGCGCATTTTTATCGATAATGTCAATATTGCAACAATTCACACGGACGAGATTCGAACGCGATTATCAATAATACCGCAGGATGTGATGCTATTTAATGGTAGCATCCGTGAAAATCTCGATCCAAGTAATCACTATACCGATTTAGATTTATGGAACAGTTTGGAAATGGCACAGCTCAAACAGGCCATTATTTCAATGCCGGCCGGTCTCGATACAACCATTGTGGATAATGGCAGCAATGTATTTAGTGGCGGCGAAAAACAATTATTCTGTTTGGCACGAGCGGTGCTGAGGGGCTCGGTTTGTTTAGTATTAGACGAAGCGACGAGCTCATTGGATGCCACCACCGAATCAGCACTGTTGGATGCGGCGAACAAAGCATTTCACGGTCGCACCATTATCACAATTGCGGTAAGTAGACACACACACAAACAAATTACTATTTGCATTAAATATTTATTACTTTCACTATGCTTTGCTTCGCTTTGACATACACTTAGCACCGATTAACGACCCTCTTGAACTACGATCGCATTATTGTCATGGAAAATGGAAAGATTGTTGAGGAAGGAACACCCGATCAACTGCGACACAAAGTTGGCGGTAAATTCTCATCGATGCTATACTCATCCGTTCAAAGCTACGATTCCTACTACATACCTGATGAAAAGCTTTAAAGATATATAATCATTCGTTCGAATGTTGCCCAACAGTATTTAGAGCATCAAACATTGTTTTCCCCCTTTTAATTCTTCGGTGTCGTAAAACGCTTCTTTTTATAAATAGGTTTTATTTGTATACCAAAGTATTAAATATGTGTCATATTCTGTTTGCCATTGTCAATCGTTATTTAAAAGTTTATTTAACAATTTTCTTTCTCTCTCTCTCTCTCTCTCTCTCGCTCATTTACTAAACCAACTCTTCACAGACAATTTTGCTATGTCTACGTGTAATAATTGTATGTTAACATTAAGTAAAATGTAAACAAAACTATACATACTTGTGTTTTTCATTTCAACAACTCTCATCCCCCTATCAATCAGATATATCATGTTTATCAATTTCATTTCGAGAAATTTCCAAACGGAAATTCAAACAAAAAAACAAGCAACTGGATTTCAATGGCCCAGCAAAATTGTAACAAGGTACGTCGGTTATATATTTTTTGTTTTCGCTATTCAGATTTAAAGTACATTCGAAAATTAGTGCCTGCACTAATGAGCATATCCGTATTGGATCGAATGTTATATAGCCGTTGAGCATTTTCGGACCTTAGTATGTTTGCAAATGAGACATACTCGAATTTGTTTGCCACAAAGGAGGGAACTTGAGTTGTTTTGAATATTCAACCCGAACCGAATAAAAGAAACTCGAATCCGTCGAAAGCAAAAGATAATCACATTTCTGTAGTAATCAGGGTAAAAAATTATTGAAGCAAGACAATATAACCAGTCGTATTTGCATGTACAAACATTTCAATTTGAAAATTTCATTGCGCTCTTTTGCGTATGACGGATTCGTAGTTTCTTCTTGCAAACACTTCGGCAACTCATTCTCAAGAGCATATATACGACATATAAAGTGTGGTAAGTAGGATCTTAGGAATACAATAAAAATTATTGTACAATTTAAGGCGTAGCATTATCCTAGTAGTGAAATTAGTATAAAATATATAACATTGATGTAGAACCAAAATGGATCAGCTTAGAAATATGCATCCCAACCGGAAATATCATCTGAAGGTAAAAAAAAAACAAAATTTATATCAAATATTGTCGAAAACTTTCGGAATGTGACGAAAAAAAAAGAAATTTACCTGGAGGTTCGTCACGATCACGTGGATACTCATCGAAATTGGATAGATCGATGTTATTTTTGATTGGACGTTTTAACGGTGCCGTAAGTGTTCTGTCTTCCAGTTTATCCCATTGGAATCCTTCAAACCACCTTCAATAGAGAAAATTATCGTTTATTCAATTATTAGAGAAAAGACCACTGGTCTAAGAACAGGGAGGGAATGCCTAAAATGGCATCTAAATGAAATCGCATTTAATTTTTACTCACGCATGTTTCTTGATTTCGGCGATGCCTTTCTTCTGATATCCCAATCGATCGGTTGGTGTTTGTCTGCACAGGCCTTTGATTAGGTGCTGTGCACTTTTTGGTATTTTTTGCGCAAAGGTCACCACATCAATACCTCGTAGTATCAAATTATAAGTTTTCATGTGATCTTTTCCACGGAATGGCGGTTTCCCTACCAACAGTTCATGAATGAAAACTCCCAACGCCCAATAATCAACGGCACGATCGTGACCTTTATTCAATATAATCTCAGGCGCGACGTATTCTAGTATTCAAAGCATAAATGGAAGTCAAAATAAATACAAATTTTTGCATGAAATGTCCAACATTTGTGAAAAAATCGAAAGTAAAATTTACCCGGTGTTCCGGCAAAAGTCCATGTTTTGCAATTCGGACCGACTCGTTTCGCAAATCCAAAGTCAACCTAACCAAATAAATATTGAACTAATGAAAAATGGTGGTCGTCACAATGCTAGCAAATTGATGTTATACCAGTTTCACATATCCGTCGGCGTCGATCATTAAATTTTCCGGCTTCAGATCTCGATAAATAATTCCACGTGTATGTAAATAATCAAACGCCTCAACAACACATGCAGCAACAAATTTCGATGTTTTTTCATCGAAAAATTTGGTTTTTTGCAGCTGCGTCCAAACGTCACCTCCCAGACAGCATTCCATCAAAAAGTACAAGTATTTTCGATTGCGATATGTTTTGTGCAACCTACGTACGCACAAAATAAATATTGAAATGTCATTTTTCTTATTGAAAGCCATTGCACTTGTTGGATGAGTGAAAAAGAGGCGTAATTGGAAAATTCCTTACTTGACAATAAACGATGAGTCGCACGATGACATGATGTCTTTTTCACTGTATGCATGCTCGATCTGACCTTGGGTTGCCACGTCAACTTTTTTCAGTATTTTCAAGGCGAACGTTTCTTTTTTATCGTATTGCACCAATTCGACGCGTCCAAAGCCTCCAACACCCAATGTACCGATTATCTCCAAGTCCGACAGTTGAATATGATCGTAAACTGCAAGACAAATAAACGAACGAATAATAATTCGAGGCGTGGTTTGCAAAAATTCCTTCTTCTAAATTCAATATACATACGTGGGCTGATGACGTTTGTTTTCGGAGTTGGTATGATAATGCTTTCTTCGTCAGGAATTTGATCAACTGGTTTCTGCTTAAGCTCTTCTATTGTGCCCAAGTATTTTGTGAATGCGCTATATTTTTTTTCATTTCGTAGAATAAATACATTTTCGTTAGGAATTCCGAATAAATTTAAACGAGTGATAAAAAAATTCGCATTAAAAATGAGCGTTACTCACGATCGATCCAACGTCAAACATTCTGTTCCCGGGTCGTTGACGATGATCGAAGCCATTCGACGTGCCTTGTTGATCAATGCCTGTTCACCGAAATAATCACCACGTTTGAGCATACCAACAATGCGAACACCGTCATCCATTCGTTTTGTCACAGTCACGCTTCCACCACGGATTATATAAAACTTATCACCTTGATCACCTTGCCGAATGATTGTACTGCCGGTGGCATAAAATTCACGCTTCAATAAATCACCGATTTTGTGCAACACATTATCAGAAACACCTTGCAATACACGGACCGAACTCAAGAATTTCATGTTTTGCTCTCGCTCCTGGCTCCCCGTTTTCATCATGATTTTTTGAAATATTTTCCGATCCAAAGCCCAAACGAAAGCATCCCTTGTAACTTTAATCGAAGCAAATCGACGAGCCTTATACAAAATGGCCAATTCACCAAACACAATGCCTGGCCCAAATGTTTTGATGCAAACACCTTCTTTGATGACCTCATATTCACCTTCGGCCGAGACAAAAAACTGATTGCCCGTTTCACCTTCTTTTATCACATAGCTATTTGCTTTCAGCACTTGGGGTATCATTGCATTGACAAGCGCTTGTAGCCGCTCCTCATCCATCATATTCGCAAGGAAGTCATTACTCATAATAGCTGACTTGATAAGATGTTCCGTTTCTTCGCTTTTTTCATAGACTTTCAAATCCAAATCAAAATCACGTGTACTTTTCTGATCAATACTGTCGGCAATAACACCCTCTCGTTTCATTCGCGGACGCGGTTCATTCTGTTCATTTAACGCCTCACTCGTATCATCTAAATTGGTCAACGAATCGTTGTTGCTTTCACCACCCACCGAATTACTATCAATTACACTCGAATTACTATGACTGGTGTCGGCACCATTTTGTGACTTTTGTGTTTTTTCTCCGTTGACTTTAATCTCGCCTAAAATCTGTACATTCTCTGAGAAACTAACCGATTTATGTGCTTCTTCGATTTCATCGGTCTCAATACCTGAGTCGGCTTTTTGGCGATCACTTTCGTCAGATTGACTTGACGCAGACGCTTCCAGGATTTGTGGATATTCGTCGTCGTAGTAGGAATCGTCAAGTGTTTGCTTTGGCACACATTTCATTGACAATGAATCGGGCAATTCGAGCGCGGTTGTTTCAAGGATTTTGTCATATTCGAAATTATGATGCGGCGGCGGCTCTTTCTAAATATCGAAAACAATTTTAAAGGAAAAACAGAATGAAAACATATTGTTGTTTGTCACAATATTTGAAATGTTTACACAAAGATTAAGTGACATTTCACCTTTTCTGATATTTGTGACATACGACTTGAATCCATCGTCACTTGTGATCCTCTCGGTGAAATGCGATTATTTGGAATGCTGCCATTTCTTGTGTATTTTGATTTGCGACTCTTTTGTGAAATTTTATCGCTATCGATAGTGTCCAAATCGAATTCGGTGTTTTTCTGGAACGAAAATGTCTGCTTGGAATGAGTAATTTTGGTTGAGATTGAATGAATTCTTTATAAAACAATAGTAGAAAGCGTAAAAAAAATCTTCTGACGGTGGCATTGACAATAAAAACGATGACAAAAAGAATCATATGAGCGCGAGTAAATAAACAATTTAATTGCAAGAGAAAACGATTTTATCAGTCATTTGACAAAGGGAGCCTTGAACGCGACCATTTCTTTTTTACACGCGAACAAGGTTGTTATCTTAAAAATATATTTATCCTAAGGTGCAAAAAATAAACGCTGATTATTATCTCATTGCTTGAGATAAACTCCATTGATTTAATTTTTGAAGGCGAAAAATTTTTTGCAGAGAAACAAAGCGTTCACTCTTAATTTAACTAGATCTGATTGACGCCAATTCCATTTTATTTATCGTTGTAGCGTCAATTTATGCGCGAATGGAAAGGAAAAATCCATATTGAAAATAATGTGATAGACAGTTGAGAGCGAGACGCAGAAGTGTGATGACAATATTGAAACTAAATTTCAAACCAGATCAAGGCTCTTACATTCGGTTTGATTCAGTATTTGGATGCTACTCTCTATGTGTGTCGCTGTGAAGAGCATTTTTTGCGTTTTGCTTTAACAAACGCAAACCAATTGCTTGGTATCGGCTGGGGTTTAAGTGACGCGTGACACAAACGATTCATTCTGATCAATCGATGCTGTCGCATCGCAATCAACATACAAACACTGTATGTGTGTGTGTATCGCATTTCGGCTCGTGATGGAGTAGCATCAAGTTAATTAAAATCAATAAACAACTGACACACAACAACCATATCATGTGTATATGGGCATGTTCATTTTGTGTTTGCGAAAGAGCGAAAAATTATGACCCACAGATGCACAACCATCCAAATACCATAGACAAACGATTTTTCAAATGCTCGCGTGCGCTTCAAACAAAAAACAAACACTTGGAACGATGCAACACAATTTATCGCTTGTTTCTCTTTCTCCCACACTCTTGTGTTACTTCAAGTTTGATGTCCGAACATATGGACAATTTCCGATTTTTCGGAGTCCATCTGAACAAAAAAAAAATACAACAGCAATTAGTCTGATTTTCGTATGCTTTGGCATGTAAAATAGTAAAATGGGGAAAACAATAAACAGTAAATTCCAGGGCACCAAAAGAGAATCCAATCTATGTAGAGCGCCACAAATCATCACAGTCTGTGCGCTCATTCTATAACTATTTGCTGATTTTTTGTTTGTTTGTTGATTCGAGGCAACATTTTTTTTGTTCGAGTCAAAGTTATTTGTTTTCGTGGCGCTCGTATGTTGAATAGAAACGCTCATTTCGGCAATTATCAATTTTGTTTTATTGTATGTATCCACTCAAATTGTGAACGCGCCGCCGATTTAGAATTTTTGTTAAACAATTTACGCTTTGAGCGTTTTGGCTATACATCGCTAAATACAACGGCTAGATATGCATATATGCGGAACACACACACACACACACACACGCACATTTCGGCTGAGGTTTAATATCGACACAGATATTCAAAAGCAAACAATGACGATATAGAATGTGCTAAGTGAACGCAGATTCTGTCGATTGTTAGCATACACAAATATAGACAGTAGCCAAATTTACCTTACCAAAACATTCAATTACTTGCAATTGACAATTAAGCAAATTCGCCTTGAATCTTAATTTAGACTTCCTACCCGCCGGAAAAGTCATAACATACTACAATACAACCGGTTCGGCTGAAGTCCAATCTTTTTGAAACGTAAAATGCTGGGAAAAAAGTTTGCTATTCCGCCATTTCTCAATTAAAAAACTACACATTAGCTTTAGACCACGTAATGAAGAAACAACGTGATGCAGAACTTCAGTTTTAAAATGCAAAATTCACGTTGTTTTTTCTTCCAATTTTTTTTTCTCTAGCGTTTCGATCACGATATGTGATGGAATTTGTGAACAAAACAGAAACGTCCAATTGAAAGTTGATCAAACGAGCCGCATTTGCTAATCGAATGCTTCCTGTTTGCATTAACCATGATTATATCATTCCAACGGCAAAAGTTTAAACCACCACCCATATAATTGCCCCGTAGATACACGTGCGTATTCTAAACCACCATTGTCAGCCGACATAGTTGTCAATACAATATTATCACCGTTGAAGTTTTTTTTAGCTCATGTGTTTCGCCTTTTTTTGTTCGAAAACGATCTCTCACTACTCGAATCAAATGTTTGCATCGCACAAAGAGAGAGAGAGAGAGAGAGAGAGAGAGAGAGAGAGAGAGAGAGAGAAAGAGGGCGGTTGTTTCCAATCGGTACTTCATAAACATGGAACAATACCGTGAAATATTATTGAAAACAATCTACATTCCATCCTATCAAGATGTATTATTTCTCCGTCTATTGGAATTTTTCAACAAGTCATATTTCTTGTTATTAAACACATGAGGATACTTTTTTCGCACTTGTTTTTTTCCTGCGTTGTTTGTTATCGTTATTGAATTTCACGCCATTTCATGGAAATGCATAATTAACGACGTGTGCCATGCGATCAGAATGGTCGAAAAGTCCGAAAAGTATTTGATGAAATATGACCAACGATAATCGAATGAGATAAGAGACATAGTTTAGAAACGCGTTGATGCGAGAAAACGAAATGTATACGAAAAACTGGATCATTAATAATGATGCGGTCACCACGCACTCTTGGCAAAAAAAACGTAAATTTTTCGATGGAAAATTGAATCGAAAGTGAAATGTAACAGCTGACATGGCTTTGCTTTTGATTATACAATTTGAAGGTAAACGACAGCTTTGTTTTTCACAAACGACAATTACATCGAAATTTGCGCTTTCCAAAAATTGAGGCGACATTAAGTAATTTAACTGGATCGACGTGACGTGAATAACTAAGTCGACGACACCTGAAGAAAAACGCGTCTTCAATGAAATCTTATCAAACGGCGTGTTTACTTTTTATTTTAGCTTTCAAACGGAATTTCTGTTTATATGTGACGAATCAAAGCGACAGGATTCTACTGAAGTGGCTGGGTTTTATTATTCTGTTGGCTGTGCCAGCTATTCTTCGAGTGAATATGTTTTCATCAAACAAATCACATGAATCTATCACGTTTGGTTAAAATTTGCTCAAGTGGGTTGCGCCATAAAATCTGATAGCTCTGTGCATTTTGTCTATCGTCAAGAATCGGTTTGCATTTTGTGTTTTTGGTGGGAGACAGAAAAAAATCGAATCTCTGTCGTTTTTTTTTGTTTAATTGTTTAACAATAAGGTGATGATATACTATCTTGTTACATCATTTCTTTACTTAAGATAAAACTCTGGAACATGGTGCAGACGCAAGCAATAAATACAGAAAAAAAAGAAGAGAAAAAGACAACAGAATAACAAAACGCTATTAAATATGTCTAGTATATATGTGTGAAATTACTTTTGATACAACTCCTGGCACCGAATTCAGCACTGGCAAGTCAAATGACTTGTGAATTTTGAAAAATTTCGAAAAGCATGACATTTTCACTGGCTTTTGCTGTCTGGCTCCTCGTTATCTACTTAAATTAACACTTGACCGACACACGCACACGTGGAATCAATACAACAAAAATTCAATTGTGTTTTTTTTCTCACTATTCCACACTAGGAATTCCTGTTTATTTCCGGTGAAAAAAACACCGTATCAATTTTCAGTTACTTTCAATGTCACTGACACATAAATTATATTTAAAAAAATACTCGTGTTGAATTCTGTCGTTTTAGACAATAATAATTCGATGAAGGAGTATTATTTGCACAATTTTTTCGCCCCAAATTTCAATACGTTCCAGCCAACAAATGGTTTGAAACTAGTTGCGCAAAGATGTGATCAAGATCCAATTTAGCAGACAAAGAAAATAAAAACTATAATGGAAATTGTTGTAAACGAAGAAGCTGAATTACACGACGATCACAGACATTTGGCTTCATTCGTATTTCAAATTGAACTGAATGCTATTATCGGCTGGCGATAAACACTTGGCTCTTCTGGCGTTCGACATTGTTCGTGCAACATGTTGTTTTCAAAAACACACTGAAAAAAAGCGAAACGAATGAAAAAAAAAGACCATACGCGCAAACACCCATTCAACGCAGAGCTTTGTGTGTGAGAATAGGAATTTAATGAAGAAGAGAAGTACAGTAATCAACACAGAAATGACGAAAAGAATAAAAACAACACACACACACACACATCGACCGATATTTGAGTGTGTTGATTACAGCTGAAGCGGTTCGATGCGGTTGTGTTGAACGAAAAAAAATAATCTAATGGGAATTTTATTTGAGAAAGAAATTAAAACCCATTACAAGCGAATGATCAAGTGCGTCAATGCTATCGGCATATACAATACATAAGCGACGGTTGAACAGAAGCAATCGGTCATGATAGTCGTAATTGAGTTATTAGTTCATGTTTTTGCTAACGGGTTATTTTTCGCACATTGTGTGAGGAATGCAAATGATAAGAGCTTCCCATAGTTTCAAGTGTTTTAATCGGTACAGATCTGAAGGATGAACTCGACCGTTATCAATATATGACAATTGAACACTTCAAATGGCCATTTTTGCGAAATAAAATGGCAAACGAATGGAGTGAAAAAACGAAATTGAAACAGTGTATGAAGCAATAATATCATCGTTTGGGTCTACAGTAACTCTTTTTACCGAGACAGTCAGTCGAATGTGTTTGCTAATTGAATGTATGGCAAAGAACGAAATGCACATGTTGTCTGGCAAAATGATTATCACATACCGGCTTTTCTATCAGTCTGATACACAATATCGTTTGACCAGCAGCCGAAATCAACTTCAAAAAATCGTCATCCTGCGATTGAGTCGACTCTTTTATGATCAGAATTCAAGCAAATATTGCAAGAAAAAAGTTGTACACCAGTCCATTTTTCATTCGTCTGGCCTTTACCGATCCAAAAATCACATCAAAGGCGGCATATCATCAAATTCACATTGATTTTGATAATTTTATCGATTTTTACTGGGTAACTAATCGAATTAGCTCACAATGTGTTGCAAAATACGACGAATATTAGTTTTTGTGGACGAATTGGTCTTTATTTTTTTTTCTCTCCCTCGATGTGTATGTTGTATTCATTTTTCAATTGCGGTCGTTATCAGTTTTTTTTCCTCTCTCCCAATATTTATGGATATTTTACGGATAAAATCATCAGAATGCTAATGAAATTAGCGGTGCGTATTTGGAATTAGCATAAATATACATTCGTCGATTGGGCGCTAGCCACCCAGTAATTTATTGACGTATTGAACCAGAAAAGTGCGCATTTCACAAACCGATTAAATTAAATAATGTTTTGGCCACTAGTGGCCAGCTCTCTTTTTTGCTGTTAAGTTTTAGCACTGCAACTATTTTAAATTTTAATTCGCCTTTAGTCCTCATGTTTTGGCGATTTCAGTAAATTGGATTTTATGAAAGATTATTGAAAACATGAATCGATTCGCGTGGTGATGTGTTAATAGGAAAACAAATTGGTTTTCTCTTTTTTTCTCTCGGCTCTTTTATTATTATCATGTGTAGCAGCTGTGTATGTGCCAGTGCGACACAACTATTTTCTATTTGAAGCGGCACACAATTTTCGATTGGCACGATTATTACTTTTCGAAAAATGTTCAAACCGGCTAAAATAACCGAATTTATGTCAACGAACGATATTATAAACGAAGGCTATAAAATACCGGCTTGATAAATGAACAAACAAGCGATATTTTCATCGGTTTTTCGGGAGAAACCGTTTCTTCTTATTTCGTGTGTTGTGGCATTTCAACGAACATAAATTACCTAGATGAGTTAAAATCTGATTTATTGTTGATTGTATAGCGATTAGATAGCGTTTGATCATTGTCAATCTTGAATTGGAGAGAAAGAAACAATTGCGTCTTCGTACGCAAAATACTCTCATTTAACCATAATAATTTCACAAATTTTTATTTCGGATGTGCATGCGAGCCAGAACTTAATGGCAATTTACATTTTGAGAATAAATGTTGCATAGAATTTATAATAAGAACAGTAATGAAAATTCATAGAGACAAACTCAAGTGGGGCACGATTTAAACGATCTTCTTCATAATGTCTGTTGTTCGGCAAATGGTTTTGATATCTTCATTCAAAAGCAATCGAATGGTTTAAATGATATAAATTGAATTTGGTAGAGAGAGCTAGACCATTTTGTCATATATATATGCTCATTTAATCGCATTTACTCTAGATGACAAATGATTATTATTGATCAACTTTTACAAGTAAATTATTTGTAATTTAGTTTGAGGCGGATATTTGCCGATTCGAAAAACCACGTGGACCAGCCCATTATTACTATTATTACTGTTGTCATCATTGTTATTTGTTAGTGTAAGTCCAACGAATCGAAAATCACGATAGTTGAGAATCAATTTAACTTGATATATGTATTTGTTCTGTTTGGCAATGTAAGCATACGAGAGAAGCGTCTTGTGACTGTGTGTGGGCATTTGTGAGCTATTTGCAATAACTCGAAATATAGATATTTCACATCTGCATCTCAATTCAATGACGCAATTTTGTCGCCACAAAATGCCATTTTGTCAATTCAATGTTTATTGAACTGAGGGCGAAGAGAATAAAATACAAATATCATTTATTCTTTAGCTGTTTCGAATGAAAATTGATGTGAATGCAACGAACTTCGATTCATATTCTATCGAAATGCAATTATAATTTCCGAAAATATTTGGGACACAATGGAATCAGATGAAAAACCTCTAGACGAGGTTAAAATGGAGTGATGCTCCTGTGCGTGGATTTATCACTCAAAAAGAATGATATCATTTTGAGTGACGCTTTGACGCTGTATTACCTCTGGTTCAGAAGTGTTTTTCTCATTCACTATTGTGAAAAGTAGGTCGATCATTAATCGACGATTTTGGAGTCATTTTGGTGGCGTCTCCACTCGCATTTAATTTCCATTGTAGAAGCTTGCTTGTCAAAGTTCAAACATCATTGTAAACATATGGAAGTGGAGGAAATGACGCCAAGCTGCACGAGGTTATTTATTCACAATAAGGAAAAATATCGCGTCACGATTTTTACACGGCAAAACGCTTAAAAGATCTGGAACAAAATTCAAAAGTCGTGACGCGATATTCTTCCTTATTGTGAATAAATTTGATGGACATCAGCTACCTTACATCGTGTCTAATAAAAATTGGCGCCCAATTTGAAAATTAGACACGATGTAAGGGAGCTGGTGTCTAATTTGACAAATACTTGAGTCAATATGGAAGAAAACATTTGTTGCGAAAAACTCAACATGTGTTGGAATTTGACACTTTCAAACATTTTGATACTTAAAAATCAACTCAGTTTTTTGTACCGAATTAATATTATTATTTTGTCGGATCATCGATAAATATTCTGTAGAAAAACAGCTCAAGTTATTTCAAATAACTTATTTGTCTTTTAACCCTCGAACCGACACCCGGGTCTGGCCAGACCTTTTTCGTTTTTAGTCGTTAATTTAATATATTTCTAATTAAGCTATCGACTTGAGCTCAGAGTTACCTGACTAAAATTTCATTGGCTATCGATCTAGCACCAAAACCATTTTAAAAAAGTCTTCAAAAAGGATGATATAAGGATATGTAAAAACTACACCTTCGGACGGACACCCTGGGTCTGGCTGAATCCCTATATATTTATAAGCATTTGTATGGGAATAAGGTGTACAACTGTACGTGTACATGCCAACTCCATTTTCATGAGAAAAGTGATTTCTGTCTTCGGCAAAGTTGTAGAGCAGATTGAGTACTACAATTTTTTGAAGACACTATCTCCTTATCTCTTATCAGTTTCGCGACAAATGATAAGAGGAAGCTCGCGTTTTTCGCGGTTTTTCACATAACTGATAAGAGATAACAATTTGATGTCTTGGGCAAAGTTGTACTTCTTCATCTGCTTTACGATTTGGCTAAAGGTGAAAATCTCATATCGCTTATCAGTAACGTGAAATACGCGAGGAACCTCAGAATACCGCTAACAGGATGGAGTTTTTGAGATTATCATTTTTTGCGCGACTGATAAAAGATAAGTGATGGGTGCCTTTGAAAAAGTGGTGGAGCAGACCAAGTACTACAACTTTGCTCAAGACATCAAATTGTTATCTATTATCAGTTATGTGAATAACCGCGAAAAACGTGAGTTTCCTCTCATCATTTCATTCTCAACTCTATGAGAATCTTAAAAATTTTTTTAACTCTTTTTCGATTTTTGCTTGTGTTGCGACGTTTACATGGGAAGTTTGTATGAAAGACTCGGAGCGCCGCTGCTATTGCATTGGCTTCTATGGCCAAATATACACATGGAAATATCTCGAAAACGGCTGGGTAAATCGGCAAAATGGACCGTGGTGTCACTCCCTAAGGGAGTGCAAAAACACGGCCGGTTCGACGGCCTAGAATATAAATCCGGTGGAATTTCAGCTGATCCATGGATTCTCAGGATTTGACCTGATTCTACCACTTCAATTTCTTTGGGTTGTGATAAAATTCCATAAAAAACATAGGTAGAATGACTTTACAGCACATAAAAGAGGAAGCTCTGGAATCTGGCCGTGCCTTTGTCCCATATTTTGCTCACTTGGGAGCAGACGTGTGCAAGGGGGGGGTATTCCGGTTTTACCCCCCTCTAGGATTCCAAAATGTGGACCCCCCCAGCGATTTGGAAAATTTGACACTAGATATAATCGATTTTCAAAAGTGAGGACCTTTTTTTTTTAGGTCTTGTTTTTTGACACCCATTGGCAAAATTTTAGACCCCCATTGTGGAATTGTGACTGTTTTACACTAGATAGAATCGATTTTAAAAAGTGAGGACCTTTTTTTTTTTTT